TGGCGGACGGAAGTAGTCAGCTCTGGTTGTCAGACTAAGCTGCTTTGGTTGCCAGGCTGTCAAAATCTCTTTAAAAAGGCTAAACTCCCTCAGTATAAATGGATCTGAGCAGGAGTAGGCCGTAGCGCCATCTCTTAATTTAGACATGAACCGCCTCAGCAAGCGGGCGCGGTGAGCGCACTAGCTCATTCTAGGTCACGGTAGTTGTATTCGCGGAGAGAAGTTTGGGTATTGCCCCCTGGTGGAATTTTTTCACAACCCAGAGTGAGGGTACTTCAACTTCCTCTGCTGGTGCGAGCACGTACAGTGCTAATTGGTGCCAAGCTTCTGTGAAATATGGAAATTCAAACATAACCGCTTGGGTTGCACGTGCAGCACCCAGGGTGAGGTAAAGAAGTGAGGAAAACAGCAGCGCCCCTCGCGAGCTTCTCACCGCAAATACTAAGTGTGAAACGGATTATAGACGATTTAAAGCGCGGAATCTGGACGCCGCCATGTCTCTGCTCTAGCTGGCAAGTGCGTGCATTTACGGGCTTGCAAATGCTACGTTCAAGCGTACGCTGCACATGCGTGTGCGTGTTGGCGCCAGTGGAGCACCCAGTCATGCAGGATGGCTCAACATAGAGCCACTAAATGAGCTATACTAGAGTATCGGCACTCTGTTCCCCGACATTGTTGTGGGCGCCGTCATCTTGGTACTTGTGCAAAGCTGACGCATACTTATCATCTAAACAGTGTCATACTTATCATCTAAACAGTAATGCCCTCGCTTCACTGTCTGTTTACAAATGTCTTGGTGTTCATATAACTTGTAACCTTTCTTGCAAGATTCATACTGAATACGTAATTAACAGTGCTAACCGTATGTTAGGATACTTAAAAAAAAATTTCTTTCGCACTCCGTCTTCATTAAAGCTAACCATGTACAAAACCCTAATCTGTCCAAAATTACAATATGCTGCTGCTGTGTAACACCCCGCCTATTGATCTTATTGAATCCATTCAAAACCGCTCAGCTCGTTTTATATTGACAAACGATCATCGCACTGCCAGTGTTACTACCTTGAAAAATACTTTAGGTCTGCCGTTGCTAAGTCACTGCCGAAAAATCTCTCGTTTGTCTCTTTTTCATAAAATATTTCATCAAAATGCTACCCTTCGTCATAAACTAATTACTCGCATTAGTCGTAGCCATAAGGTTGGTATTCCAACTTTTAAAACTTCATTATTTCAATATTCTTTTATGCCACAAACATCTATAGACTGGAACCACCTTCCCGCCTCGATTGCTAACATCACTGACATTGTTATGATTAAAAATGCTATTACTAATATGTCCACTTTATAGTTAATACTTTACAGCTCTCTCCCCTCTTCAATGTACTTAACTTGAGGGTATTTGAAATAAATTAATAAAATAAATAAATAAACTGTCGATTTTTATGATTCAGAAATGCGGCTTCCTGAGCATTAAATTTGGTGTTATAAGGCTTATGTAATATTGCTTTTTTTCGCTGTCGCGGACTGTATAAACGTCTGTGGAGGACGAAAAAGCGTTTCCTGTGATTTGAGATATAGCTTCAGATAACTGGCCACTATGATTTTAAGCCACAAGATCGGTAAGTGTTGTTACTCTGGAGCGTAGCTTTTTTAGTGGCACTATACCCTGTTTCAACTTATGTCGTACCACAGCGAAGGCTAGAAGCGCGAGCTCTTATAAGGGTTGTTAGCCGCCTTTAATGCACAAGAGCTTGAGCCGCCGAGATGTGCACTAGGCCTAAGCGCTTGTAGCCTTTTCTGCGGTGCATCATAAGGTGAAACGGAGTATAGTTCAACACATGCTGGTTGCACAACTCTAGTTTGCTAGTTTGTATATCTCAGTGCCGTAAAGAAAAGGACTAAAACTCTACTAATTAGAGTAGTTTTACCAGATCTGTTTTTGTGTAGTACTGTGTTTGGAATTTTGCTCGCTTGCTATTTCTTGAGGACACATTTGCATACAGTGCAAATAACACTTGTGTTCTATTCATTATAACATCAGTATGAGAGGTCGAATATCATGCTTCTACTTTCAGCCGCCATCAAGGATGAAGTGCAAAGTGTCGACGTCGTTGACATTAAGAAAGCTGATTGTCTAGTGTCGCGGACCGGGAGGGTGGCAGTCGGAACCTAGGCACCAGCCCACTTAGGCAAGCCCAAGGTCCAAATGGGACAAGTGCAAGGCAAGCGGGGCTGACACAAGGTCAAGAGGGACAAACGCAAAACCAAGTGGGGCAGGGTCGAAGCCCTGTGTCAAGTGTCGAAGAGTAAAGATTCTGCCTGCCTGCCTTCTGAATTTCTAAATAATAAAAACGTAAAAATATGAAAGCGTGTTCTATATATGGAGCTAAATTAACTGCAACTGTTATTGGTGGCAGCATGGTAAAAACAATTACCCAATATTGGTTACTATGAGGCAAAGGTGGATGCCTGATATTTCTAAGAGAATGATCAATAGAGGACAATATTGGCGAGGTTCATGCTGCCAGTATGGGCTGGAAGGAAGGAACCAGTATAGGGCAATATTGGGGAATGTCGTGTAGCCAGTATTGGCTAGTGAAAGTGTACTAATATATAGTGCAATATTGGGGAAACGGGTGTAGCTAACATTGGCCAGATAATGTGAACCGACATTGGTTAATATTGGTGAAATTCGCGTAGCCAATATTTGCTAGGAAATGTATACCAATGGTAGTCAACATTGGGGAAGTTCGTGTAGCCAATATTGGCACGAAAACATGCAATAATAGTTGTTAATAGTGGGGCAATTAGTGTAGCCAATATTTGTAAGAAAATCTGCACCAATATTGGTTAGTATGGGGAAAGTTTTTGTAGAAATTATGGACTCGAAAATGTGCACTAATATTGGTCAATATTTGGCCCACAGCAAAGGCCAATATGGGCACCCAATATCGCACCAATATAACGCCGCGTTGCACTTTCGCATATTATCCAAGATTATTGACATTATTGAGCAACATCGAACCATTATAGGAGAACTATTGGTGTGTAGCCTTGGCAGATTCTGCATTTTTCCACGACATTCTATAACACTTCATGGCATAAGAGATAAAATTAGTTCAGTATTCACTAATGTAAATAAATAAACATTCCCTGTGAAATGATTTTTTATTTATATTCACAAAGGCACATTTCCGCGATGATGGCACATGGCATGAAAGTTTCTTATGGCTCAGAAAAAACTTCCGAGAATCTGCGGTCAGACACAGATACAATCATTCAGAGATTACAACAGCAGGAAATTCACAAGGCGAAAACAAAAAAAATGAAAAAAAAACATTGTCCTTTTTTTGTATAACAAACGCTTGCGAAATGCCTGTTAGTCTCAAACACATAATTTAAAAAAATTCATCCTTTTCCAAAAATGCTTATAATATAAGACCTTGACTCAGATGTTCTTTTTTGTGTTTTTTTGTTTTTTTGTGCAGATATGAACAAACCTTGATGTGATTATCAAAAGAGTGCAATACATCGACATAGAAATGAAATGAAATTAAATCTTTATTTCCAGAAATTTACTCTGGCGGACCTCCAGACAAAAAGCTACCATTGGTAACTTGACTCATTATACGTCCTGCGCTCTATTATTTACAAACCAAAGTTTGATCATTTCTTTAAAACCCAGGGGCTCTTAAGATAAATCAAGCATGAACATGACTAATACTATGTATTACTAGATATTCTACCTTTCTTATGTGAAATATATCGGCCTGGAACAGTTTATGAGAACTCAAGTCTCAGTGTTTCCCTGTCGTGACTGCATTTACAAATATTTACACCATGTTTCGTTTGCGCGAATGAAGTGGTTTATAAGTCCGTTTTAGGATATTTTTGGGTGATAAATGTTGTGCACTTTGCGAATTGGTTGTGAAAACAGTTACTGGATAATTATTATTGAAGTGACAAACATTTTAATGTAGTGATTGAATTTAGACATTTTGTAGATTTTAAAAATATAAATTATACTATTCTAGTGTCATATATCTAAAATTCGCCGCTTTATGATAATAAATATGGTTGTGAAATTAGTTTTCACAACCATTTATTTTATCGAAAAAAAAACAGATTAATACGCCGGTACAAGATAAGAATCTTGAATACTCCGAAATTATATTGCCATAGCTCCTTTGGATACGTTTAATATGAGATAGACACATATTTTTTTTTCATGTTCGTCTTATCGTACCGGATGTCCGACTCGATCATGTATTTATCGCCATCGATCAGCATTAAGAAACGCGCAACAAGAAGTAATACCCTTAAAGGGCTACTCCACCGATTTTTTCATTGTCTCCGATTTGCTTGAAATTTTGCTAAACTAACCAACAAACATCGCGAAAATAGTATCCCAAATATTAGGTCAAAATATTGTTTTTTCGCGAAGTTATTGAATTTACAGTTTTGGTCCTCCCCGTGTTTTTCAAGCCCGAAGTCTCTACTGGCAACAATGAAAAAGTGACGTCACTGGAAGGCAGGGGTTCACTCTTTGGGCTGTAGATTTCGTTTTAAACTGATTGGAAGCAGTTTCATGGTGTCAAATGAATGCTTGGGAAGCTAGCTGCAGTACCAGCGCTCCAGCACGGAACAAATGATTGGCATATTCTATTTTTTGGCTGCTTGCTCGACTGGCAAGCCTGCCTGCCACTGACGTCACGGCCCTGAAAAGCGCGCGAATATTTGAATGTTGGTTTTTGCATCATTTTCATTTGCCGATTTCGCAATAACTATTATGAATTTCGTGATTCTAAATAGCATACCGGAGAGAGTAAAGGCCGGGGAGTCAGAAAATATAGTTAGTTGAGGTAGCTCAAAAAATCGGTGGAGTACCCCTTTAATGATACAGACTCTGAAATGAAATTAAGCGAGTGTAATTATGTATGCGTTCACCAAACGCAACGCGTCTATGGTACGATGCTTTCAAGAATATAATGGCACGCGATTGTAATTGAAAAACTCCCTGCTAGAGCATCGTCCAGCTATAAATGGCAATAGTAATCTTTAATATCGCCATTAAATTCTGGAGAGTTTGCCTGTGATATTTTCAGTCCTGGGCTTTTCTTTCCATTTCCGTATTGTTCGGCGCCATTATTTGCAAGTTTGTTTTCTTGCTTCGTCCTTCTCAGCCGCTCTGGCATAAAGGTCATCTTTTCAATATTGCCGGTGGGGCATTCGCATAGCACAAAGACAAAATAGCTGAGGAACGCGCTCCAGATAAAAATTGAAATCGTCTTCGAGATCTGAAATAGAAGAAGAAACGAGATGATTAGAGCACTTAATAAAGGGACGTCATAATCAACACAATATTTCCTAGTTTATACATTACAATGCAAACCAGTTGCTGAGGTTCAGATTAGTTGAAACTCAATTTATTTCAGCAATTACGAGACTTTGCAAAAGGATGCTGTGTTTGTATAAAGCGGATTTCGGTGATACCGAAATGAAGACGAGCCGCGACGCCAAATCAGGGTTCCGAGGTGCGCATATTCTCACATTCATTAAGTGATATGGTCTGTATTCGCCTAAGATGCACGTTTGCACCTCCGATGCTGCGCGTTGAATAATCAACAAAATCGATTTTATTTCTTTGTGTTCTTTCTGCAAGTGTCAGCTAATTTTCTTGCTTGATCTTGCTTGTATCTTGTAACATGAGCAATACCTAGACAATGAAAAATAATCATTCTGATATTGAGAATAGCAGCACAAGTTTCGCACAGACTTTAGTTTTTCGTTAAGTTTCTGAGTGATAAATTGGCTGACGTTCTGAGGCTCTCGCGGATTCTGAGGCTCTCGCTATTCACGTTCGTAAAGGGATACTGAACCGAAATTTGGATTTCGCGAAATAAGGCCGCAGAAGTGTTGAACGGGACGCTACGAACACCAAGACATCGCTCGATATCGATATCTCAAACGGAAGGCCGTACTTTTAGAGAGAAAAAAAAAGTGCGCGATCAAGCGAGCGATATGGCGTCATTGTCTCCCCCCAAACATCTGTGAAGGAGGGCAAGGAGCCTCCCTTCTCTCCTCCTCGCTTCGGCTCACCGCCTTGACGGGACGAAGCGAGCAGGAGAGGGAATTAGAATCGTGACGGCACTTGTCTCGTCGGCCCCATTTCAATCGCCGCACTTCTTTTCCAAAAATACGGCGATTTGTAAGAGATATCGCTGCATGAGTGATGTTTTGGGGTTTTACAGCTTCCCGCCTATTCGTCCAGCCTTGTTTCGTGAGCTTGAAATTTCGGTTCAGTATCCCTTTATGTGAACCATATTCTACGATCGTGTGCTTTTTGCGAAACCTGGGAAGCATGTTTCAGTGTGTGAGAGAATCATTCTGTATACATAAAGGGTATTATTTTCATTGAAACATGTCTATAAAAAAATTAACAAAAAATACACTAATGTGGTTTGTGCACGCGAGTTATATGGACAGGGAGAAATAATATAAGGGGGGATATTGGCCATGATTATTCAGAAAATAGCTAAAGTTTTATATATATATATATATATATATATATATATATATATTTTTTTTTTTTTTTCTTCTCAGTTTTATACTTACGCCTTCGGCCTCCCGCCACCATGCCCGTTATATCTATATATATATATATATATATATATATATATATATATATATATATTGTGAAACCAAGCATATGGTTTGAATTATAAAATTCCTAAGCGTCATTTAAAGCCCCTGAAGTAGTCCAGTTCGGAGAGATTTGGCGCACGTGCGGTGCAAGAGGGCAAGTTAAAGTTTTAAAGGGCAACTCCCCTCAATTCTGAAGATTTTGCGAGAATGAGTAATTTCGCATTAAAAAGCCATAGTAAAAGACACTACGTCGTTTACTTCGCGAAAAATGTAATTTATATATTTAAGTCTAATTTCAAACACGGGCGAAATTCGAAACCGAAACTTCGGCGCCGTCCGGCAACATTGGCCTCGGGCCGCCAAGAACATGGCGATCACGGGGTACGAGATGTCACGTGATCCTCTACGCAACGACGGGCCAGATTGGGGCGGGCGTGTGCGAGGCGCAAGTGTCGTCTACACCGCAATTTCGCCAAGTTTTGTTGTCTACGACATTCGACGATGTCTGCACAACTGCGGCATAAGTCTGCGCACGTCGTGTCCGTAGCGTGGACGCAACTCCGAGAGAAAATATTCACAAACGGTGAGACGACGTCAGCGGTAACGGCGAGACCACGGCGGGGCGGCCGGACGGCTCCCAAGAAGCGCGCTGCGCAGGCGCCTTACGCCAATCACGTGGGCACCGCTGAGCGCCGAGAGGAGACGTTCCTGACGTCATCCGTTACGCTTGCCCGGAGTAGTAAAACAAGCAGAAGAGGGCAATGGTGATGACGTTTAGTTCAATGTTGGCTACGCCCATGCCGTAGCCTTGACTGCGCTGTTGGTTGCGCCTGAATTCGCCCGCTCGAGTCAGCCGATTTCGGCAACCTGGTGAGTTGCAAAGTTTGCCAGACCGTTTAAGAAACATTTAGACAGAACTGCGTCGTAATATTTGACGTGTGGTCTTCCTAGGCGATACTGAAGAAGACTGCATTGTTGTTTGTTTTGTTTTCAAAAACAAAAATGAAGCGGAGTTGCCCTTTAAGTGCTGGAAAGCACGTGATCCGAAACGCGCACTTCAGATCTGTCTGAAAGTGTCTTATTTAGTGGTTTGTGTCCCGTTTACCAAGTTTCCAATTGGAACATGTACAGACCGCATTAGTGTACCTTTCAGGACATGTTTGAATATATCTGTCCGACTTAATATCAAACACCCTGTATGTAAATGCAATAAATGTTTGGAAAACATCGGTCACCTCATTCGACTCATATATTATGCCCTCTGTTTTATTTTATTATTCCCATTCAATCCTTATTGGCGGTGTGAAACGTAAATAAAACAAATATCCGTAGGTCCTGTTTCTCGAATAAACTTCCTTTAAAATTATTTCAACCGTGCGTCACACAAGAAGCAAGCGTTTTATTCACCCAATATTGATATATTCTATTTTCCCTTAACGTATTTATAAAAAGCCTATCAATGTCTAAGTAAAACTTTGAATTCATCTACAACACTAATAATTAGCTATACGCTTAAGTTGGGATATGTGCGGAGATACCCCCTGATATTTCAGTGGTGCGGGTTATACGGAAATTTGTGCATTTTCCGACAGCTATGAGAATTTTAAGCTGTTTCCTAAACCAGTCCACATTCAACGCCCCTAATAATTTACATATATATATATATATATATATATATATATATATATATATATATATAGGGGGGGGGGGGTTAGGTCGTACAATAAACATATCGCAGAATATCATATAACAAATATTCCGCATCTAATATTATATATATAAGTTCTGAAAGGGTTATTCAACAAACCGCGCATGAAGTTCTGCATTCTCTTCAAATGGGCATTTGATATTTATTGGAAAAACTATTTTATGTATTCATATATAAAGTGTATTTCATAGGCGTGCTTGCTTAATTTGTGTATCTGCTTCAAGACCTGGTGTGCCAAAGACTCTGACAACTCAATTCTTGAAACAGGAATTCCGTCACTTACCACACTGTAGAATGAGTAGAAGATGCGCTCTCTGGCCACGTAGTATGACGTAACAAAGTACGGCATATGCAGGATATAGATTCCGAACGAGAGTCTACTCAACGGAACGAAGGCGCCCCAAGAGAGGAAACTTCCGAGGAAGCCTGAAAATGGGACGTCGAGTTAAGAAAACATGTCTTCCTAATGTTTTGCTAATGAAAATTGAGAAAGCAAAAACACAAATAAACACTTTGCGTTGAAGACGCCATAGAACTCTGAAGGAGACACTACTCCAGAGAAACGCGTATCTTAGTCCAAGTTTCCCGATCCTAGGGCCCCAACTTGTGTGAAGTAAGGCTTTGGTGCTGGCCATCAGTTATGACCAAATTACTTTTAAGCATGAAATGCTTTTTAACGGTACCCCCCTATCCCAAAATATTTGTCTGTTCATTTTCCGCTATATTTGGCGGTGAAAGTGCGTCACGAGTCTTCGCGCAAAGTTTAAGCCTTGGGGAAATTGACGGCACGTGACCTTTACGTCAACTCATCTTCCCCGTGAAATCTTGCGTTAAAATACACGTCTCGTGGCCAAAACACCAATTAAGTCTCCTCGCTAAACTTAGCGGGAAATCGGCATCACGTTACCTGTACACCAATTACCTGTATACACGCTACATTTAGTGGGAAAATTCACGTCTCGTTACCTAGACGCCAACCCAGTTTCCCCGCTAATTTTAGCGGGGAAATCAATGTCGCCGGACCTGGCGTCACGAGACTTATGCAAGGCTTCTGTTTCCCCGCTAAATGTAGCGTGTAAATATACGACACGTGACACACACTTTCATCACCGATTCCCTATAATGCATGTCGTGCATTATAGCAGTTTAAAGGTAGAAGTATCTGCCAATATATTTTCTATGTAGCTAATAAATAGCCATCTGCCTTCTTTCTGATTCGCCATAATAGTTTGTAAGGGTCTGACATGACCAAAAGATGACACCTCGTATCATAAATTTAGCGATGAAGCCTACAGTTCTAACATTTGCAAGGGAATTGAGGCCCAGAGTGCCAGATGACAGCCGAACTACCCGGAAGTGAAGTCTAATGTGTGCCCTTGATTGAGCATTTACGCCCAAAAGAAATCAACATTTTAGCTAAATGATAAAAAAAATTAATATTTGGTAACACCTCGGTTTTTTAAACTTTGAAAAGTCTAAATTGTCTCGTAAAATCGTGTCATGACCTATCGAACCGTGTTACTTGGACATAGTCCCAGAAGGACATGAAAGTCAATGAGAACAATAATTTATTTAATGGAATAAATATTATGTTTTCTGCCATAATTGACTCATAAATATGTAATTTTGTCTTAGTTTGATTGCGAGAGGGGTGTAAATTGATGTGCTGACTTGATCATTTAAATACTAGTAAGCCGTTGATTTCTTAGTTCACTTCCCGATAAACTGTTATCCCCGCTCAATACATAAATTAATAATACATTCTTGAATAGCACAGCACGGTTGATAATAAATATAAATTTTTTTTATGCAAATCGTACAGCTGCTGAGCATTATTCAAAATGTTAAAGCATGTTACACAATACGGATTCTTAGGCGAATTGCTACTCAGACTTGGAGAACATGATAGTGTTTCACGACAGGGACTAAGAGTAGGAACGAGACAGCACAATGCGCTAACTTCAAATGTTTAATCGTCAGAAAACCAAGGGTATAAATACTCTGCATCATCGCGGCACTCATCATCGCGCCATTTGAAGTTAGCGCATTGCGTTGTCTCGTTCCTACTCATCGTCCCTGTTGTGAAGCGCTATTTTGTTCCCCAAGTTACAGAAAGACAACGATAAATAAAGAAACATTCGATCCAGCTTAACCTTACCTGTTATACAACGCATTTTCTGCGTTTCATCATTGTGTAAAACTGTGCCTCGACACTTACGTTGTGTACGTATACAGGGTGTCTAATTTTAATTAGAACAGATTTTTAAAAATATAGAAGATGAGAGTGGGTCGAGTTCTCATTTCACCATGAATTTAGCAGTTTCGGGGTATATTAGACAAGGGAATTCTCGTCACGGTAAGTTGACAAATTAATTCAAATATTCTAATGAAAACTTTAATTATTGGTTCTAGGGTTCATCTTAAAATTGCAGTACTGACAACAATTACTCTTAGAAGCCAGACGAATTTAAAGGGGCGATGCAACAATGTTTGTACTTTGCGCAAATACCGCTTAGAACGGATCCCTGACGTTAATGACCTATGAAACACGCGTTCGTTTTTCACCCCATGCAATAGAAGCCCCAGAAAAAAAAATAAAGATAAACGAGCACCGTTCACCCCCTCAACTCACAGCCAGAACAAACGGCCACGTTATCTGGAGTCGCTTATATGCCGCCAATCATGATCATAGCCATGCGCTAGGGTTGGCAAAGCACAAGACACGCGCTGAGTTTCAGACATTGTTATAGCTCGGCTATTGTCGTCGTTGCAGCGATTGGACAAGGGCCAGTACCCGAACGCTTCTCGAGCTAGTAATTATTACGAGCCCAAATCGAGTGCCCACGCAATTATCGGGTCCAATCTATGAACCGCGTTCAAATATCGTCATTGGGGTGTACTGAGATTCGCACGTTATGTCATCAAGTTTCGCAAAGGATAGATTGAATGAAAATTATCGTTTTTGTCCTTGAAATGACACCGCAACCATGGAGTTTCTTGGACAGTGGCGTTGCGTGCGAGTTTTCTTGAGTCCCACTAGTGCCAGTAAGCTTGTGTAAATTGAAAAACATTCCAATTGAATATCGTTGCACCACTCCTTTAGAAAATTTTTGAAAAGGGACTTGTATATTTTTTTTAGATATGATCAATGAAATATCGCGTTTTTTCGCGCAATTTAAAATTGCGCTTAGAAGAAAAAAAGCACGTTAAACTCTGCCTGCAATAAAGGTTGTAAGGGTGACGTAGTCGTTTAGGTCACGTCGTCACCCGGTGTCGTCGGCGCATGCAGCAAGGACACGCAGTAGATATGGTGACGATATGATCAAAACGACAGCGCCACTTCTAAGGGTCATTGTGGACAGGGCTTGCGACACTCTTTTTTATTCGCCGTAATGTTTAAATTGGGTGAAAAAACGCAAATATATGTTCGAGTGCTAAAAATTTTACGCTGAGTAATTTGGTGTAAACGTGCGTTATATATTTTTCAAGCATAGATGAGATGCAGTTCAAGCATTCTTGTATTTAGTCGCTCTTGACGACCTTCTTGAGTTAAGGCAACGTCATACATCTCATGATGAGTAACCTAAATATTCCAAATACTCCACGCGTAATGCAGGGAGAAGTTTTCTTGTCTTTTAAATGTGAGGGCAATCTTGTGGACCGGGTCACATATGCTCATCAGCGCTGAGATAGCTCCAGTATGAAGGCTACCGCTGCTCTTAATTATCACTGCATTCTGGGTTGGATCATAGGCAGGAAAGTTTGGATCATATGCAGCTGAACGTTGATACAGCACTGGTATATAGCATGATGCGCTGTGCTTATAGCACTAGCTTATCTCTACGTTGTAACGGTTTTGCAGTTCATTATGCTGCTCTGTTGCCATATGTTTTCAAAACTGCTGCAGTTTCTCTATTCAGTCGGCAGAAAATATTGTCACAGTATGGAGAAAGAGTAGAGCGCACCTTTCTGAAATAGCGCTAGCCCCACCAAGGGCGAACAATGCAATTGAGCCTCTCCGCAGTTTTATTTTTCGGCATTATCGGCTGCTTTTCGAGATAATGAGACACAGTAGTGTAAAGTACACCTGGCCACCGCATTCAATTCTGTCAAAAAGTGTGTGGCCAGAACCAAGGTTGAATGTGAACAATCGCTGCGGTAAAATCCAATTGGATACGGCCGCCGTGTTTGTATTCGCCGATAAGAAGTGGGGCCTCCTTGTGTTTTTCAGGTTGTGCCAGACCTCTCTTTGATGTCCTATAATTCCGCTGTCAAGAACACCTGGATGGTCGAAATTGTTACCTTACCTCCTCTGCCGGTTGCGCAGGCAAACGTTAGCCATGCCAAGAATGCGGCCCACATGAGACGATCAAAGAAAGCGAAGGCAATGTTCTCTGTGGCGCCAGTCTTGATGGTTCCAGGGTTCCAGTGGTGCCGGAGGAGAATGCAGGCCGCTCCGCAAAAGAGGCTGATGAACCACAGCAGCGTTTGCATAACCTACGTGGAAATCAGATAGTAGACGGTGCTCATGTAAATTAAAGAGAAACTGAAGTGGTTTGGTATGCGACGAAAAACATTTAAAGCGTCTGGATTTAGCCTCCAGAATCACAAACGGAGAAATAATTTTTAAATTTGGTGCACGGAGGATGCAGAAATCAATTTTCAAAATACCGCCGAAGCCCCTTCTTCCCGGGGCGTGACATCATATTACGTGTTTTCGAAATCTACACTCTCACGAATTTTTAGTGCCTATCGAACAATGCACGCTCCCTCTTGCTATTTCCATAAACGTCAGAAAGGGACGCAACGACTGCTGTCAGCTCAGGAGAACACACCTGCAAAACTTGAAATTGCGTACGCTGCCCACACAAGGAAGAGTCGCTTCGCGACCCAAAGATCCTAGTATGACATCACGACTGATCAGAAGTTTTTCGTGTTTTCGCGCGTTTAGCTACATCGCACAATTTTGTCCGAGTTAGAGGTGAATTCTGGCGTATTTTTATCCCATGAATCTGGTAATGTTCACGGGATGCGCATGCAGCATCGGCGCATGCAGCAAGGACACGCAGTAGATATGGTGACGATATGATCAAAACGACAGCGCCACTTCTAAGGGTCATTGTGGACAGAATTAGAATTCACGTCTCTATCGTTTTTTTTTATTGACCTCTAACAGGGTTCTGCGAAATGCACAAACGGCAGATCCGCTGGCGCTTTGTTAAGGTGCAGAGCAACCTATGATTTTTTTAAGTTTTAGCCTTATAAAACTAAGGTGTCTTAGGAGAACATCGACTGCAATAATAAGGTTTTCAGAAGCTTTGTTCGTTGATAGTTACTGGTAGTGAAGGGATCGTAAAATCGAATGCAATTTAAACACCATTATTCCATTGCAGAATGATTGCGCGATATGTAGTTTTGAAATCCTTTTTATAACAAAGTAGGGACAATGAACGCTTCCGAACTGAACTCCCAAACTAATAAAAATGACGTTCGCCACAACTTCAGGTTTGATAACAAAGAGAATCTCTTGGAAAGATTAGCGCATTTAGTTCACCCGCATACAAACAAAAGTCATTTCTGGGAGAGCTGCTGGCAACGAAGAAGACACGACCAGTGGAAATATTTACACATGCTTCATCATACCGACAAAGTTCGGAAAGCAAGAATGCGCTGAGTGCAAACCACACACACTGCGTGTGGTACGCGCTAAGCCCGTCTTGCTCTCATCAGCCTAACTCGCAAACCAGACACAAAAGTTGGAGCTCGAAACATTCGGTGCTCCATGGTCTTTGTCAGCGTGATCGTGCATCTGTGAATCCGGGCACTTTTTTTAACGATATGTGACGTACATTTTCCTCGTCCGGACAGCTGCACTCCGCACTGCTGTTTCTCTCGCAGCTGCTCTTTCCGCATTTGCCCTCCGAACACCAAAGGCGCTTAGCTCAGTGGATATAATATCCGGCGACCAGTCACTTGACCCGCGGGTTCGATTTTCCTTTGGCTGTCAATTTTATGTTCGTTTCAAATGTGCCATAGGAGCTTATGTACTTAGTTTGTATGATTCAAAATATGTGTAACGCACGAAAGTAGCGGATGATCGTCAAAGATGAAAGAAACTATGGTTTTTTGTTTGTTCTTTTCACAAAATTTCACTGAGCAAGACACATTCGTCATTAGGAGCGTAAAATTATTTTACCTCAAACACTAGGTCTGTGGCATTACGCTCTGGAGGAAGACTTACGTGTTCTCAAATTGGTAAGGGTCACGTCGCCCACTTTATTTTATGGCCAGAAAGTCACTCGATCCTTTATTCGGACGCTCTCACTTCAGGCGACTTAACTCTATCTACGAGTGTTTAGTGCGAAAGTGTACCCTTCACAAGTTTTGAGTGTAGTACATGCAACGTTAGAATGTCCAATTTACCAATGACTACGTAAAGATCACAGTGTTTTTTTTTTTTTTTTTTTTGCTACGACAACTGTTACTTAGACACCATAATGTCCAACACTTGTTAGAACTGGCACAGAAACAGTGAAGGGAAAATAAAAAATCTTAAGTATTGTAGCGGTAGCTAGCGGGGACGATGCTGCGCTTGAACGGCGCCAAGCTCACGGGACAGGCACGAGCTAAGGACACGAGGTGCCTGGACCACGAGCTGCACGGACTCTGGGATTCGGCGAAGGGCCCCTCGATAAGCTAGTCAAAAGGATACTGCAAATATGGTACATAAATATGTAGACTGTGATGTACCGAGCCTCCACTCCTACAGTACCTATATATTTTTGCATTACCTACTTTTTATGTATTGCTAGATATTTCGCAAAACTAAATAGGGTTCAAGTCAGTCTACATTTTAGTGACCGGATGTTGAGACTTGGAGTCAAATTGGTAATATAATATTTGCTTATATTGAAGTGTTTTTATAACATTTTAAAGAATGTGAATTTTTTTGAGAATAAACAAAAATAATTCGATTTCTTTTTTTTATTTAATTTTGAGTTTGGAATTTAAAAGGATAAATCTGTTAAAATCTTGTCAGGTGAGATAATTTAAAACAAATGCTTTGGACACTTTATTTTATGAGATATCATAATATTAGGGCTGGGAGCCGATTAGAAATTTTAATCCGATTGATCCCTACTTTTTAATCGATTAAGTATTTGATTAATCGCTTTCGATCATTTACATACATACTGTTTTTAAAAAGTAAAAGTTATTTTTTTTTCTTATGTGAAAAATACGTTATAAACGGCGCAATATACAATTTGGATTAAAAATCAACCTGGAAGTGTAGTTGAGGTCAGTTCAAAGAAACTCACAGTCACAGATTATTACTTGAGACGCACGGGGCAGAGAGGTTCATTGATAATTTTTTAACAATCGAGAATTTCTTTGGTTGTTCCCATTCGTCTGGCTGCGCTAAACGGAGCCTCGCACGGCGTTGGCGTGGCTGGGACCCGTGCAACCTTCCGCACTTGTCTGGAGTTACTTCATATATCGCCCCTACAGTTGACTTTAGGATAAAAGCTCACCTAAAATGTGCCCTTCATTCAGGTGTACTCGTCAACATCAGCCTGGTGAAAGCGCTTACTTTTTTACATTATTCTGGTTGGTTAAGATATTACCGATTAGCCGGATAAAAAGAATAATCGCGATCAAAGCATTAATTGATTAATTGGTAGGTTAATCGATCAATTGCCCAGCCCTAATAGTAATGCATCCTTTCAGACTTTAGTAGTTAACTCTTTTGTAATATCTGTATATTCACCAATAGTAGATAAAGTGCGGATTCATCTACTTTAGCTGCCTTATTCTTCACTTCTACGAAAAATATGTTTTATTTGAGCTAATCCCAGTTTGGGTGCATTTATTTGTTTCAACCATTTTAACTCAAATATATTAAAAAATATCTTAATAAAGATATTAAAAAAATTAACCAGAAAAGCCACACGCTACCTTGTGAGATTTGTCGTGTCAAATTATAAACATATAACATTGTCGAAAGTATATAATAGAAGTTTCATTTGAATATTTATATGACTCGTTGTAATTTTAACATTATCATGCTATGTTTAATTCCATAACAAATGTAAACTACAATTTAGGTATATCGTACGAGTTACCTTTACGAAACCCATATAAAATACTCATGATTAATTCCAATATATGTCAATATAATGCAACACTGTTTAAATCATAATTTAAAAGCTGATTGCTTTTTAAAGGACGCTTGATTTTTATGCAAACAGACGGCTGGACAAAAATGTTCAAATGGGCAGATTTGTGAAAATCCCTTACCTTAGATATCTTGGTGCCCTTATATTTATTAATAAACTGAGATGTTGCGCATCCAATAAAAAAACATGCTCCATGATTCCAGGGCGTCATATACACGTAGTTGAACGTATCTGCGAGAATTCTGAAAACAAATAAAAGCACTATTATACAAACAGTATCTGTGAAACAACCGTCAAACAGCCACATGAAATATGAATCCTCTTTATAAAATCTCTCCACCGTTGTTGACATGTCAACTTTCGGACCTAAAGTATGAAGGGCAAAAGCCTAATTTCTGAGACTTTAACAACCATGATATTTTGGAACATTCTATGTGCTTGGAGGGTACATGACACTACATGAAGTCGACTCCCTGGATTTTCCGCAAATTTTACAAACATTGCACCTTGAATCAAAATAACACTCCTGAACACGTCATTAACATATTTTTCGAAGATAATATTTTTAAAGAAAAATGGGGTGAAATAAATAAATAAATATTTTATTGTTTCTTTTCAACACAGTACATTAACCGGCCCGCGAAAGCATAAATGTGCTTCTCTGCGGGACCTGGCGTCCAACAGGTTTCTTACATAGTTATAACAAAGCATGCATTACTTGCATGCAACTGAACAAAACCAAATAAATAGAATTATACCTGACAAGAGAACAAGCGAAAAACTTGGTCCTTTTCAGTCACCTATCGACTGACAGCACTATTTTCTCAGGTCTTGTTTTAGTCTTTTTAGAGAATCCAGGTTATGAAGCTCTTCTGGTAACTTATAAAAATAAAAAATAGCCCGAAGTCAAAATACTCTCATCCCTTAAATTTACCTGCCCTATTAACAACACTCAGAAGGAGCACCTCAAGAGCCAACGAATTTGTCACTGGGGTTTCGACTTATGCCAAAGATGCCATGCTAGATCTTGGAGTCGTTGTCGAAGTCGTTTGTGCATTCTTTTGAATAGAAAAAGTGTTTATGCGCTCCTATTCATGAACACCCAAAGCTCAACTCTACCCATTGACCGCCACACTTGACTGTTACACGTAGGCTGAAGTTATAGAAAGCATATATACACATAAAGGCCATTATTAATAATCACGAATGTAATACTCCTGCATGCGATTAAACTTGAAACCATATAATTCACAGCGAGACACTATCGACTAAGGTGAGCAGAACAGAAACATGGGGGCAACTAATATTTGACTTAAAAAATCAGAACTACACCATTATCTGTTGCGAGTTAAGAAACACAAAACAAGCTCCTCCGGCGAAACCTCTCGTGTCATCGTGAAAACGCGCCGAGCTACTCTTTTCTTTTTTGTTATACCAAGTCATGTGACCTGTTTCATCAGTACATACTTATGGTTGTACCAATAATCGGGGGATTCTTGGTCACTCCCGAGAGTCTCTCTGGTTGTCTGACTAATTCCCCCACCCTTTCAACTTTAACAGAGCGATCGCCGGATAGGAGGCGAGTTCCTCCTCGTCTCGTCATTCCATCTTTCCGGCGTTCGCTATGGTAAAGAAGAGCGAGTTCAGCGTTCGCAGAAAGAGATTGTCCTGCTTTTATTAATCTGCAATAGGGTATAGCCTGATAACGTTGACAAAGACCGAGAAAAGAATGTGTCGAGCTATACATGCGCATGAAGTGTGCGCGTTATGCATGCTGCCTGTGTGTGATGGGGACGAATCTGGTGAGCCCGGGGCTGGCGCAACCACACACTTCGTCTGTACGTTTGCTCAAAACATTTTGGGTTCCCGGTTTCTGACAGCATGATCGAGCTACTTTAAATATTTGTTTGGTTCGTTCGGTTAAAGCTATTTCCGTTGAGTGGTCGGAGTTTTGGAGTTGTGCTGTAGGATGAAGGAGAGGCAGAACAAAGCCTTTGTACAGTTTTTCCAATGGCAGATCTGCGCGAGTTCGGCGGGTGTGAGTACTAGGCTCAAAACACATGTGGTCGACACTTCTCCGCCCAACTGAAAGCTTAATGCTCTGTTTTAAAACAATAATATGCATGCGTGGAGGGAAGGGGACTTGTCTTTTTCAACGCAGAGTGAGAAAAGCGGAAAAAAGAAAAATAACCTGCCATGCTAATGTTTATGAAATTTCAAGTCTGGAATGTAGTGTAGGTTCAAACCGTCTTCTGCCAATATCAACAGCGGAGTAGGGTTAGACAAATGCTTTCTTTTTCAACTACTTAACACCAGGGTTGCAGAAAGGCAACGTAGACATCAAGTACGGATTGCGCTTAGCGGAGGCAGTGCAAACTGCTACGACGAGTATAAGAAATGTTAAGCCGACGATAACAAAGTCGTTTGCACTGCAGTAGGCTAATTTGTTTTCACAACTTTAAGCGCGCCAGACGGGTTTTATGCTGACGGACTGTAAAAACAGTTGTTGGGTTTTCCGTCAGAGCCGACGCCTTCAGAACAGAAACAAAAGGAACAGCAAGTTCACTAATTACTTGCAATTCACAACTTCCGCTCGCTGTCGATCCTCACTTGACTCCGTTAAACAAGCCGAATTGTAGACCGGACATATTACGAATTTTATAAGCATGTGTGCGACGTAAGCGAGCGGCCCGCATATTGCATGCCACAACAGACCTAGGCTCCTGTGACGTAATTTCTTGCAACTTTATGACCACATTTAACTTTTTCAGTATAGCAAGGTAAATATACCAGTCAAACACGCAGCATATATGAACAGCAGCACCATACAGAATATTGTTCTTCCTTTTGTCATAGGATTCCTTGAAATTTAATTTATCTGAAACAAACATCGTGCATCTCAACCGTTTATAGTGAAATGCAGTTATCGTTTCTTAAGTGAAATAAAGGGTAATTTGCATTAGAGTATAAGGTAAGGTGGGTAAAATGAGACGCAGGGAAAAATGCAAGTGTTTGCGTTTAGCGCCATTCATCTCCTGGACAAGCAGCAGGAGTAGGTTCAAACTTCAATGAGAGGTTCCGTGATTTCGACACTTTGCACGTGTAAAACAACAGCTCACGGCAAAAGTTTTTCGAAAAAAACAAATGAGGTTGACGTTTTTTTGCACCCCGCCAAAAAGGCACGAAATTCAGCGCGAGGTTTTGATTCAAAACGTGCACCACGGTTTGCACCCACTATTCAGCCAAATTAGGCTTTAATTTTATTGGTATGCTTCAATGGCTTTATCCGAACAAAAGTTAAGCAATCTGTAGTTAAGTTTTTAATAAAAAAAATTATCTAAGTAAGAGGATACGCGCGGTATAAAAGGCGGCAATCCGTCATTCTAGGACGCGCATGTCAATAACGAACGAGTCTCCTGGTTCCTCCTGGGCGATTTTTTTTTTTCTGACGGTATTTAGGATGGTCCGAACGTATTAAAGAAAAAAAACAAGTGCTTTTTAGCGCGAAAGTGAAATGAACAAAGCTCTTGAAAGTGACTAGCAACAGCTTCACTCCCTTAGCACTGCAGCCACACTTTCTGGCGTACCAAAGGATGCGCTTCGAAGCCGAGCCAAACGACTCAGTGAATGTGAGGAGCAGCGGCTCCACAAAAAAACAGCTGAGCTAGAGAGGTGCGTCTTTTTCCCCCCGACGTTTGAAGTTTAAAAAAAAATTCTTGTGTACCTAACGTAGGAAAAAGAGAGCAAGCAGGTCGGAGAGCAGCAATGTTTATTCGTCACTTCCCCACAAGGCAAAGCTGATGTTGGTGAAAGCAACCAAAAACCGGCGTTCCACTGCCCATCCCTAACGCCCTCCAAAAAAAAAAAGAAAAACTATGCAACCGAAGAAAGAGATTATGAGTGATCTTCCGAACATGTGCGCGGTGTCCAAACGTTCTGTAGACCGTGCGATGCACACCATAAGAGATTGTTAGTGCCTGGTATGCAAAGAACTTGGGAGCTAAGCAGCACTACATTGTCTCATTTTGCCCCACAGATCGGTGCGAAATTAGGCGTTGTGTGACTTTCGCATATTGTAGTTTTGCTTAAGGCTTCGCTTGTCCCAGATAAGTAATATTTACTATGCCTAAAGTCAAGACACCTAAGAATACCCCCTGCTGTTTTCTTTTTCTTAATTTTAAAGGAGAAATTAAACTTACCAATAAAGTAAAAATTGTGTTTCACTTATTTTGCCCCACCTTACCATAGTCACCAGACAATATCATTTTCACTTTCTGTCTTCACCTGCTGCATGCAACATGATACGACATAATATAAAAATCCTGCACATTAAGTTGCGCCTGGCAAGCATTTAATAGTCTTTTATTAATCATTATGCAATAGATACTAGTTTAGAGCATAATGTTTTATACTTACGATATTTTGTCCACAATCGGAGGAATCACTGGAAGGTAGTTTTCACTAGACATCTGCCACGCAGAAACGCAGCTACAGACGAGGGACAGGATAATGAAGGCGACGTTCATCAAAAACCATTTGCTGCAACGAAATAAACAGGCGCCTTTGAGAATGTGGTGCCAACCGATCACCACTAAGAAGCGACAATAAAATATACAATTCACAATTGGTTAGTTTTATATCCATTCGAACCAAAATGCGTCCCTTTATATTACCACATGTGTGAAATGTTAAACATAACTAAAATATACTCTCACTTCGTACACCTGTGATCATCAACATAATTCAGAAATTTGAGGGATGTGATTTATTTGTGTCCAGAGAATGATATGCCCTAGAATTTCAATATGCATTACACAAACTGAACCTCTAAGTAAAGACTTTTGTTCACAGGCATTAAATTCAATATACTATTTACATTCCTTGAAGTGCTTGCTTTTGGCACTATTATACAGACCCTTGTGTTTTCTGTAGGGAAGCACCAAATTCTACAATCCATTTTTAACTAATTCACTTCCACTGGAATTTTAAAAAAAAACACTTTTATCACCTAATCGAGCCTGATGTTCTCTTTTTTTTTATTTTTAACATCCGTGTTTTTATCATAATAGAATGAGCTCCGAAATGTTTCTCACTTGCATCGGATTGAAGGAAGTCCTGCATGTCACAACGAAAATAATTGAAACATGTGTAACCTTTTCATTGCCGATAAAACAATCTAAAATTACCATTCCAAGATATTGAGCAAGCCAAGTCATCACGTAAAAAACGAAAGTTTATCAAAACAAGGTGCAATTTAGCACTATTCCATTATAAAAAAAAGAATTGAGATTGTGGTCGACACCTAAATCTGCTTGCGATTGAACTTAATGATCATTAATACTTTTATGTACTTTTGCATGCTGAATTTTTCTTATTTTCTAAAGATACTAAGCAAGCCCATGTACAAACTGCCCGTTTAATCACATCCAGTGATTTCGACCATTGTGTTAATTTTATTGCCTCGCAAAGCTATTAAAAAACAAGCTTTTCGTGTGTATGTGACGGACCCGTAGGGAGATAACAATATATTTTCAGGGGTGATGATCAAACATCGCAGGTAGTCCTTTAACAATCATTGCCAACACCAATTAAGAGGGGTTAGTATGCGAGCGGCATTGGTCACTAAATAAGATAAAACAAAACGAAACATCTCACTTTCTAAATATCAGGAGAATGCAGAGGCCAACTAGGAATAATTGGAAGTCTGTTGAGAGGTACCACAGGTGAGGAAAGCATTCCTGAAATCCAGAAAGAGCATATTTTAGAATTATTTATAGCAGAGACTAACACGATTTATTTCGAAAACAAACTAAAAGAATCGAAAACAAACCAAAAACCTAATTGAAAGGTTGCGAGTGTTTTCTGTAGAATTAGACACAACCATAAATACGACAGACAGCTATTGATCCGAGAAATTGTTGCAAACATAGTTATTAATCTAAAATTTCATTTTATAATTGGCGCCATTCATACGCTTTTATAGAATTGATATTAATTGCAATACGCCCTTGTTAGTTTTATAAAAAAAAAAGCTAAAGAATGTCTTTTTTGTGCTGCTGGAATATAGCACAGCTAAATGTACATAGCATTGCGTACCTTGAGGAATAATAATCTTAACACGAAACCCAGCATAATAAGGAAGGGGGGTGGCGCAATTTTATACATCGTGCACATGAGGAAATCCATACTCGAAGTGAGGCATAAGCTGAATATTTTATGTAACCCTTGAAAAAAGTATTGGTATTCCTAAGAATGTACCAAGTATCGCTAGATCAACAGAGTTCTAAACACTCGCTTTAAAACCAATTGGTCTAACCTGTACATTTTAATAAATAATCGAGAACTGCATGAATCAAACCACATATGCGCGCCTACTAATCATAAACTCACAATATTTGGAACCCAAAAACGTAAACCACATGGCCATAGACAGTCTTGATTTTTTTTTTTTTTTTACCTTCATTTCGCTTTTATGCACAGGAAAGTTGTATGCGCCAATCGAAACGAACAAGAAGAGACGAACAAGCGCTGCTTTCGACTAGTTTAATCGTGGCGCGGCGCCAGCGAAAATTTCCGAAGGAGCGTGAGCAGCATGCTGTTTGGGAAATAATAAGACAGAAAACCTAAAAAAAACATTTGGATAGTAAATGTCGCGGTAAAATACGAGATAGGAATTTCGATTGGATACTAGTCATAGAAACATGTCTGTCGCTTCCGCGGGCATTTTCTTTCCCATTTAGGTGGTAAGCTACCATCAACTCTCAAGTAGAAGTATATCGACCTCCACCCAGAGTCTTAATGTCCTCAAACCGGGTTCACACATGCATTCCCCACATTGCATTGATAAATACCAATTTCCAGTATTGTTTCTCGACAACTCATATTTTAATGCTTGGTCATTGACACAACCCATGTTTGACAAATGTACCTTGCACCCTTCCACATGAAAGCGAAATTTTGTAAACCAGACCTGTGGGGCATTCCACATATGTCCTGGCATTCATAATGTTGCAGCAAAATTTATTTATTTGTCTTCCGGAGGAAATCGCCAGACAAGAGATAGCGGGCTTTCGTGACGCAGATAACAAGATCTGCGCATAGTACCTTTTAAGGCTGGAGGCTCTGGCCAGTTAGCTATTCATAACCTAAAGATAACAGCGCAAACGTTGACTCACACACTCAGCATAGCACCTATTCAACAACTTATTTATTTTCTGCGTAAGATTAATCTGGCGTCTGATCTCGACTAAGCTGTAATCGGTGACAGACTAAGATTGCATTGTAAGCTCCTCTCACCTCTTTAAAATTGAAAATAACAAATGCAGGAGAGGACGTCGCCTCCTTTCCAGAATTGGCTCTGCTAAAGTGGAAAGAGGTGGGAGGACCTTTCACTTAGCCTGTCGCCGGCTACGGTTGAAACTAAGGCTTATCCATGTCCTTATTTCTATTGGCGTCTTTGCTTGCGCATACACGCCTCCTCAGCATAACTCGCCTGACCGCCCAACAACGAGTTTCGTTATTCTTTTTTTATGGCTGTAAAGTTCTGCTCTGATTTCCAGAGGCAATAATTTTTAAACGAGCACAGATTGAATTCTTAGTCCTTGGTGAAATATGACTTGTTTTTTCTATTGTCCCGCATTATTCAATAACCACTCGTGACTATTGCATTTGCAAATAAACACGTACCAGGTCGGATGCCTTCGCGAAGTTTCGGACCTGGAGTAAAAGCTGCCACCAGTGCGTTTCCACTTCATTGTAGAACTTATCGAACAGAACCTTGGCATTCGGACCCGATGTTACGAGAGGTGTGAGGTAGAAGCATGCTATGCAAAACGCAACTGGCACCGTGACCCTGAAACACACAAGCAGTTTGATTTGTTTAGTCACTGACAAAGTGAAACCTTAAGGAACCTCGGACAACGCTTGGGCGTCTGGTGCACTTCGATCGAAAGCCAAAGCACGGCCTACGGCGCGGAGCTCGTGGCAAGGGGCCAGGCGTGTGGAAGACACGCCCTGCCGTTCTCATTCTGCCAGCGACTTTAGCAAACCCTACCACCCATAGACGAAGGTTTTCTAAAAGAACAAGTTCGATAACACCAATGTAGAAGTTAGCTGGTTGTGTGTATCTGTGCTACACACTGTTGCAAAATAAAAGCGCCTATTTATTTGTATCGCGTTCATGTGTTTCAATTACTCGTTTTTACCGTTGTAATGTATGTGGTTTATTTATATTTCGCGTGTATGTGATATTACGTTGTTCTTGCGTACATTGCAATGCTGTGCGTTTTTGTGTAGTTGTGTGCACGCGATAAATGCACGTACTAAAAAAATGAATGACATTATAAACTTCCTGTAACGCCGAATTAGAGCGCAGCTCTTAAGAAGGAGGAGGGGAGGGTACTGAGGGGAGGGTATGCCCCTCCCCCTCATCCGTACTCTCTACTCCTCCTCTCCTCGTCCTGTGCTCTACCCTCCTCCTGTCCTCCTCCCTCCTCATCTCCTCCTCCTCCCTCCTCTCCTCCTCCTCATTCCTCGTCCTACTACCTTGCCATCTCCTCCTCCCCCTCCCCCCTCCTCCTTCCCCTCCTCCTTCCCCTCCCCCTCCTCCTCCCGCACGTTGCGTCATGCAACGTTTTCCATAATGCAACGCATGACGGGAGGTCACCTGACGTCACATGATGTTCATGACGTCACGTGACCCTCGTGACGGCACGTGATCCTCGTGAGTTCACGCGACTTTCGTGACGTGACGTGACCCTCGTGAGGTCATGTGACCCTCATGAGGTCCCGTGACCGTCATGACGTCACGTGACCCTCGTGTGTTACGTGACTCGTGAGCTCACGTTACTCTCGTGACGACAGGTGACCCTCGCGAGGTCACGTGACTTTCGTGAGGTCACGTGACCCTCGGGACACCACATGACCCTCGTGAGGTCACGTGACCCTCGTGAGGCTACGTGACCCTTGCGACGTCACGTGACCCTCGTGACGTCACGTTACCCTCGTGCCGTGACGTGCACCTCGTGAGGTCACGTGACCCTCGTGACGTCACGAGTCCGGCGCGTTGCATTATGGGACATTTATGCATAATGCACCGCGCAGTTACGCCGACGGCGACGGCGACTGCGACGCCAACGCCACTCAAGCCGGAAACGGGCGCCTAAGAGCTGCGCTCTAAAATGAAAGCTCCTTTATAATCTTCTGCAATAACATACTCGGAAACAGCTTACGGAGTGTTTTGATACGTTGGGATAATACGCTTTCCTAGAATCGAGAACCCATGAAACTACAAAAAAATATGAAATAACACACGCGGACAATAAAAGCTTTGAGGCTGAGTGCTTAAAACTGAATCTTATTTTGTGCACTCTAATGTGAATTTTATCATGTCAGCGATAACAATACTTTCATATCAATTAATAGCGCGTTTTAGTAGACCGTGCTTCCCCCTCCGCTAAGCCCCTCCGCTACCCGGAACTCTACAGCAAAGGCCATCGGCGCGCAGGCGCAGTGGCTGTTTCTTCGTAGCGGAGGGTTAGCGGAGGGGAAACGTGGTCTACTAAAACTCCCTAATGAGCGGTTCTCGAAGGGCGCGATGAAAGAAAGTAAAGCGTTTCTGCACATTTCCTCTTTAAAAACATTCAGCCTTTCCACCCTGGTGAAGAACGAGGACCAGCGGAGCTGTGCAAGCGAAAGTAATGGCCGGCCGCACGTCGGCCATTACATGGCTTGCCGCCGTTGCTCATTGATGGCGGTAGGTGTCCAGGGTTCGGTGCCTTCATTTCTTTTCGGGGTTGACGATCCTGGGGAAACTATACTCTGTTTCACCTTATGTTGTACCGCAGGAAAGGCTGTAAGCGCGAGCTCCTTGCTCTGGGGCAGATCTCGGCGGCACAAGCTCTCGTGCAGTAAGGGCAGCTGTCAACGCTATGAGCTCGCGCTTCCAGCCTTCGCTGCGGTACAACATAAGGTGAAACGGAGGATAGCCCTTAACAGCTCCGCTGTAAAATAGCGCGAGTCTAAGGAGCTCCCTAATTTCTGTATTTGTGAATCCCAGCTCACCTGATTTCTCGGCGTGTGATAGCTACCACAGCAATCAGAAACCTGTTGGCATTTTGTTTGACGACATTGTAGGATAGCAGGAACCCACTGCGAAAACAAACAAATGTAATATGATTACGCTGCATCGTCTTCTTCTCAACGTGCTCCAGGAGTGTAGGTTGGTTTCGCCGCAGTAAAATTAAAAGAAAGGCAAGCTGTTAGACAGGCCATCAAATCCTTTTACGTCCATAATTTTCCAGCAAAATAAGTTTTTTTTATTTATTACATTTTACTTTGTCTGCGATCCTAAACATATTCAACACATGTTTGCGAGTAATAGATAAATAATCCACAAAACATTGGAACCACCTTAAGGCAGTTGTCATACCTCCAGTTCGAAAAATGCTATTCTTCTTTTTATGATCATAGAGCATATCTAGAGAAGCGTTTATTTATGCTTACCTCAAGAAGAAAAATGTATCAACGCTCAGAAACGCTGCCGAAAACACGCAGAAAGACCAGTTACCCGCCATTTCAAGGACGTTGACAAACCGCGCTGCAAGTGAACAAACATAAATTCAATATAATTAGAATTTGACAACGAAATACACCTCTTGCTGATCACATTTCAAAACAATAAAAAATGAACCCAGTGCACGCGCGCAGTAATTCGAACAATTAAATATGAAAAAGTAACCCATAGCAGCAGAACTTCGATGTAGTAGCAGTTAAATATTAAAGATATGGATATATGAATTACTTCTGAGGAATGCAACAAAATCCTGAATGCTCTATGCCCACTTCAGTAAATAAAGACGCCTGCATACCATGATTACAAATAGATTTTCGCGACCTTGGTTCCATTTTTTATGCACATTGATTAGGGGCCAAGCCCCAGTGGAAGCAGCAAGATTTGCGCGCTAGGAAACAGTCCCAAATCACCTCTAAAAGCAAACACGCAACCACAAACTTCAGGATTTAATTTGTTTTCTATTTGAGATGCCAGGATGCGGTGACGAGGTATTCCGAAATTAGTCTCATTAATTATATGCTCTCATAAAAGTAAAATAAAGAAATTTTCGCAAATCAAGGACGTAAAATATAATTAGGTTTTAATTGAGATTTTTCACACATAGCAAAGTAAACGATGCGCCTGAACCCTGTGTTGTTTTATTTATTCAGTGTCTCAGGGCTTCAAAAATAGCACCTTCTGTAGAAGGCAGGGGTTGGAATTGAACCCAGGATCCCTGGGTCCTGTGACACGAGCTTTCGCCCCACGTGCTGCGAGCTGGTTTGCGCTAGACTACTCGGCCACCGACCCGCTTTTTTTTTTTATTGCTGTAGCCAACGATTTTTTTTTGTCAGCCACCGATCTTCTTAATTCATATCCATTCCCCAAAGGTACGTAACTCGATGTTTTTCTTTTTTTTTTTCAATTTCAGAATTGTTGAGTATGCATCGTACTTATGACACAAAATACAGTTTCTTATTCAACGCACTTCATATACAAATAGGGGCGACAGGTGATCGTTAAAATTATAATGATTCTGAGACATTTATATACGCATTTGCGACCAAGCTGCTAAGCGAGAACACGCAGCATTTTGACGCTTTCGCTTTTTTTTTTCTTTTTTTTTGTTTCGGTGAATATAGTATGATTGACATTCATAAATCCGCATTCAGGGGAAATTTACTTACACACGATGGGGTCAAAGGCGATGGATGTGTGACCAAGAACGATCCACAAAAGGCTGAAGAAGCGCAGCCCGTGGAGAAAACGGTAGTTGTAAGATTCGGCCGTCTTGTCTTTGCTGACCGCAAGAAGTACGCGAGTGTTTGCAGGAATTGAGAACGCTGTGATGTACTTCATCAGTCTGCCTGCGGTCGAGGAGAAAGGGGTGCAATGCTTTATATGCCGATGCGATTCTTTTTATTTTGTTCCAGAGTGACCTATTTTAGGAGCCTAGAGGCTTACGTGGGCATCCCAATGAATTGACACCAAATGAATTTACGGGCTGAATTCCATAAAAGGAAGAAGACGATACTGCAGCAGTGGTGCGCAATGCCGACAAGGCCCACGCGCAAGACCCTGCCACCTTTTAAGCACTCGGCTTCATCATCCGAGCACATCTATGTTATTCGTGGCTGCGGCTCATCTTCGTAACAAGATACAATCGGGATTTCAATCCTTAGTTTATCATTTCTATATATTGCTGCTGAGTTTAAAGCTCCAAAGAGCAGATGTTCCCCATTCCGATGTTACACTGATATGCCCTTTTTTATATAAGCCGCTATTTCAGTTGAAAGGAAATAATTTGTACAGCGAACTTCGTCAATTTCTTTCCGTTGCAAAATATTTTAAAACTACTTAATTTGAACAGGTTGACCTACCGTCAATTGAAAGTTGGCAGATCGAGAGATCTTTATACTCGTTAACAATCATATTAACTAACATCTTGTGAACCAGTAAACATTTGTTTAAATACTCTTGTATTTCTGACATTCCTGCTGGTGGAAGTACTTTTCATTTTAAACTATTTTATTGGAAACAAAACAAAAATGACTCTAGAAAAATTTAGTAACCCGGCTAATCGTCATATGTATATGGGTCTTCAGATATATATGTTCTATTTGGAACAGAAGGCAGCCGATGTCCATGCTCGAGCAATACAACAACAAGCACTCGAGATAGAAATATTGCAAACTACTATCCTTCCCAGACCCGTAAAGAGGTGATGAATATGAACTCACTTCTTCGTGCTGGCTTGGTTTGCAGTTTTTCACTTCGTGTAAGCCGGACGTCAACGATAGAGCTCATGACTGATATCAGAATTATCACTCCAAGGGAAATCCTAGAAGAACATTGATAGCGCATTAGCTCTAATGGCACTTGGTATCGCTATTTATGACTGACATGATTTGATCAGTTGAGAAATATGAGTTCAGCTGAGAACCAATTTCCAAAATATTAAGTATAAAGATTCGTATTTACACTGCTACACGCCTGAACAAACGCGACGTTTCGCGAAAATATATATAAAAAACACCACATTGAATACATTTTTAAATACACAACTTAAAGGCCGCCGTACAGTTCGCGCTTTCCACTTTTTCTGCGTTTCCTCCTCTCCTGCCCTCCTTTCCTTCCTTCAACGCCCTCCCCCACCTGTTTACCGCCCTCCCCCGAGAGGACAACACGGGGAATGGATTAGGAGACGCCTCCGTTAATCCGGCCGAACCCGCCGAAGAGGGGGCCTGCTGCTTGACTAAAAATTATTTCGCCGCTCGGAAAAAAAAAAAAAAACCGCCGCGGGCAGCGACCGAATGCGCTTTGCCGGATGCGCAACGCTCCGTCCGCCTTGAACAAGCTTGTATGCATTTGACTAACATTTTTCGAAGCGCGGCAGGTTTAGTGTAGGTCCTATCATATGGTCCTGCAAGATTTCCCTGTCCGCCACAAGCTAGCGAATAATTCAAGAACATAACGACGGCAGCGTATTCAAACAGTGTAAAATAAAATGTATATAACATTTATAAGAACACCGTTGTCTTCACTGCTTGGCTTTCAAATTTTTAGCGTTGCCAATAATCGTAATCAAACTATTTTTATGATTGAAGACAATTCATCGTGCATCGACCCCAAGATTACGCTTACGTGAAACATGATTCGACGCGGGAGCGGCTCGAGTCACCGCAAACGTTTTTTTTTTTCAACGTCGATTTTGCTTTTTAATTTAGCTGAGGTACCACTGGCAGAACACGAATCGCATACTTGGAACGTATATACCGTCTGAAAACTCATATAGCTGGTTCAGTGAATGCAATACTATCGCATTCGTTGAAGCTTGATTTGTTGATTCGAACTTCAACAAATCACACGCACCCATTCTCTTTATTCCTGTTTACCCAGTCATAGTCGTTCCCTCACGATGCAATACGAGTACAAGTAACTGCAGTTTATGCATTGTTAACGTTGCACAGCCGTGATCGCACGGTTTCTAGAAGCGCTATAGAACGAGCACAAGCGTCGAATTCCGGTACACTGATTGATTTCTGTCTCACCGCCGTGACGCCACCCGAGAAATGCGATTTCGTTCTGTCTGTGAAATTAGGAACACAGAAATTATGCTATAATCCCGGTAATAAAACAAAGCGAAATGGATCTCTGGAGCCAATACCCAATCGCTTGCGAGGTGACTAGGCGAAAGCATATATTACCTCCGTGCCTTTACCCTCTGCACACCGCCAGAGAGAGTCATACAAACTCCTTGGAGCTATTGTCAACACGATTACGTTTGCAAGCCGGTAGTTTGACTCGGCTGCGATTCGTCCCTTTCATAGCTCTCTATGAAACCAGAAAGGTAGATACTTTTCTACATTGGGTGGGTTTGCCCGAGGCCTCCAGTTATTTACGGCCAAAATCACACTAGAGGCGCTTCAGCAATGTTCACTCTGGTCGACACACGCGCACTCTAAAAATGCCAGTCGTCTGCCTTCCCAAAAGATACTTGAAGAGCCAATCATAAAGACCGACGGATAACGAGGCCGAAATTATGCTTATACCTCAAAAAAATTATAACACAAATTTGGCCTCGTCATTCCCAAACTGGTTGCCGGACGAAATTCTCTACGCGAATTGCAAGCCAGGGTTGGTAATAGTAACATAAGATACGTACGGCAGAATTCCCTGCCATAAATAAAATGGTTTGGCTAACGCCAAAGTAACGCGAAATAGGTGGAAAGAGTTTTGCAAAAGGGAGCGTAAACTGAAAAAAAAAAGACAAGAAAAGGAGAAATAAAAAAAAAAATCTCTGGTGACGTGGCCAAAAAAAAAAAAATTCTGTTCATGTGATTTTTATTGTCAGGTGACCGAACAAAAAAAAAACGAAATAAAAAAAGAACACGAGAAAAAAATCATCCCCTGCCCGGTTTCGAAGCTAGGCCCGCTTGATCGTGAAACTAGCGCGCTATTCGTTGCGCCTAGTTGCGTCGACATAACTTTTTTTTTTCTTTCTTTATTGCAAATTGCGCCAACATAACCCTGCCTGTAATGCTCACGCATTCTCACATCATAGGAGAAAGCTTAGGTGCCTTCGTAGTTCTTCATGTATGTGTTATTTTTATTTGTGGGAAGAGTTCACGTTCCAGAATGATTTTAGAGTTTTGGAGCAAAACGAGTTTTCTTCATCCGAGTCACCTTCTAGAGCCAGTAGACCGCACTGGGTCGTCCGGCTAATCAAGCAGCTATTTTCAAATTCTTTGACGTGCCCGTCCTCGCATCCGAGGTCGCCGTTTGACAAGCTTATCTTCCACCTGGTAGCCGGAACCCCACGGCAGCTTTGTTCCGTCCCCACTCCCTCTCGAGAGGATGGCTCGCCCCGAGGATAATCCCATTCTCTAGACGCCCTTTCCACCCAACGCTGGCCCTTTCCCTCCCCGTCTCCAGCTTCGGGAGAGAAGGTTCTTCCCTGCAGAACGTCCCGTTTGTACAGCGGCCTTTAATGTGTTTTAAAACAACTAAAACATATAACCCTGTCTTATTTTCAACATTTTCGTAAAACTCCGAGTTTGTTCATGTATGTAGCACTGTAAAACGTATATGTTTAAAGAATATATTGTGAATGTGGAAGATTCAAAAATTGTATGCTTGGTGCATAAAATAAGAATTTTGTTAAGAATATATTAAATCTCAGAGCTCAGTTTCATAGTATGCCTATATTTATAAATTACTGTCAGTCTAAACCTGCGGCGTATTCCGTAACGTGTCTATAAGTATATAACACAGTTCGAAGGTCACCCATACTCTTGTTCTGGACACCAAATTAGTTTAACATTATTATATTATGGAACAACACCGACACGACAGAGTTTTCAATAAAGGAAGATACTGTGCAAAATATAACTACTCGTGTAACTAACACATCACTTCACTAAAATTTTATCATTCCCCCTTAATAACCAACACTTTAATGTTTATAGCCTAAACTCCACTATAAAAGAAAGGTTTATAAGAAACTGATTTACAACAACTTCCCTAAAGGCTCGTTCACACACTCGCAACCGAGTACGACCGAGAGCAACGAAATCTGTTGAAACCCCTTACAACCTCTTAGGACGAGAAATCACACCGGCACGCTGGTGCCATCTATGCGGTGACCCTGGAACTGCGTTTCACAAGAGCGAAGGCTTTGCGAGATTTGCGAGGTCAAATGTGCATGATACCTATGAGAAAGGCCCGTTTATAAGGTTGGCACAAGTTTGTTGAGCAAGAAAGAAAGGATAATGCGCGAGAGAAATAGAAACTATGCCGGACCGTCAAATTTACACCGCTACCCAATCGATGGCACCAGTGTGTCCTCTCGTCGCAAGAGATATTAAGTTCCAAGGCACTCGGCCTTAAGAGGTCGCAAGTGTGTGAACGGGCCTAAAGAGTCTGTGTTTCCACGCAGTTCTCTAAAGTCCTACTTTCCCTTCCGAAGTGCCAATCGTCGGTGTCGCCCACGGCTTACTGCACAAATGGGTCACGTTTTTTTCTCTTTCCTCTCGCCGAACGAGAGGGAAAAAAATCGCAAACAGAAACAACAGGAGGCGTTGTCTTAATCCCATCGGTATCCGGCCGGCGAAGCGATGCTGGAAGCGGCGGCAAGCAGGCGCGACGCCAAGGTCACGCGTTACGCCGAATGCACGAGACGGTCAAAATGTTCGACGCTCACGAACACCTAAACGCGTGTGGTCGTCGGAGCACAGCCGAACGTAGTAAGGCTTTTTAAATCGCCACATCTGGAGAGATATTTATGGCCCGGTCTTGGTACCTGTCTAATGTTCCTGTCCTTCCCTTATCAACCTTAACATAAAACAGATACTTTAACATTATTACAATAAAACCACGAATTCGCCTAAATACACAAACAAAACTTGTACTACAGTGTGAAAATTATAACGTTCATTTCTGTTCAGCATGCCGATCGCATCGACACATTGCATATATTAGCAAACAGGTGCAAGAAAGGCCACATTCTTGTCTCTGGGTGTTGAATCCACTCGCTAGCTTTACCCTGCGGATTGATAAAACGTGTTGCGCGTGCACTTTTTAGGAAATTGAACGACGCAGAAGTGTTTGTAGAGAAGTGAGTGGTGTCTATTGGAAACTAATTGTCTACGTGGAAAACAACAGAGCACAAAATCAATTAAAAATGCCTACAGAAAAATTAGTGAATTTATAAAATCAATAGTAGAAGGCTCTTTGTCGTGGGATCCCTTTTATATAGTTTCGGGTGGATATATGCCCGCGTACCTTATTTACTGCATTACAATTTCTGAAAAAAATATAGTTTTGCTTCTGGCGTTTTCAAATGACCATATCTTATACATTTTGTATCAATTGCATTCTCGCCGCCGTTGATTGCATTCATGCACATCAGAACCCCCTCTACATTTATCTAATAATGAAGCCTTCCCATTTGACATCATACTGAAGGCAAGAAATTTAAAAAAAACAGCAGTCTTACACTATACCCAGCTGCGCATTCGTCCACGGAACAGGTAAGCTTGTGACGCAGTTCTTCACGGTTATTTTAGTGGGACCTGTGATCACTGCAAAGAAAACGAGGCAGAATAAACAGGCCGGTCAGTCCTCTCTGTCCCAGACTTCACCAACCACGGAGTGTGCATCTTTCGATCAAACACTCATTAACGAGAGTGGGCAAATATTCCGCGGATGACAAAAAATTCACGATTCACGCAAGCCACTGTAAATATCGTGGAGTTTTGTGATGAATTCTAGAAATGACAGTGTGACGTATACCTTTTGGATTTGTCGAATCCGTCCCACTGCTCAAGCCACGACACCCCTGAGTGGTGCAGGTCGAGGCATATCTTTCTTTGCACTTAACCTTTATCAGCTATTAGTTTGTTCATTCATAGGTGGTTAGTAAGATCAATATAAACAACACATTTTTTTTAACTTACTGTAGACTCAGTACGCAAACATTGCAAGTGCAACCTTGGGTTTTGAATTTGTGTGCGAGTACGCCGAACATTGTACAGTTTAACGGCGTTTACACTTCACACTTTGCACTACTAAGCCATATGGACACAGCAAATACAACACGTTGAGATGCGATGCTCTCAGTGACCAGCAAGCTTTGACTAACACGAAGCCTCCCCACACATAAAATACCTCATAATATATCCCGTGGCAATTGATTCATATGGTTGATATCATACTAATTACATGAGGTGCTGGTCAATCGCGTGCATTTTAATCTTGAACTCATCGTGCAGTTTTCTTCGGTTTTTACTAGAAAATGTACAGTTGCACATTTTTAAAGCAGAACGTTTTGACGATATTTTTCTAGAGTTCATTTTTATACCCAACATGCGAAAGATTATTCGTTTTATTTGTTGGGCTGGCCTGCTTTATTGTTAACGCGGTACATGCACCAAAGTGTTTTGGCCACATCACGCATCGTTTCAATTTTTATTTATTTGGCAGTTCGTCTTCAGAGCGTAATTGTGTTCTTTTTATATGCAGTTTGATGTTTTCATTATAGCGAAAGATATAGATGCGGTAGTTGTTTTGACCCCTATAACGCAAAAGCCATTAAAAGTGTAATAAAGTGTTTTTTTTTTGTTTTTTTTTTGCGAATTAGTGTGTTTCGTTTTGCGAGGGTTGCATTTTTTTAAAGATTTTTTTATAGGACGAGGGACATTAATCTTGTGCCTACTCTATGCTTTCAAGTTCCACTACGCGTAGGAAAGCTGTTCACTTTTTACGTCTAGAATATCGCAGAAATAGTTCGCACTCAAATGTATTCGAACTGTGAGGGGACGTCGCCTTTTTTATCGCTATATCATCTGAGAGTAGGCTGTGTAATTCCAAAAAAATACTTTATTTCATCGACTTTTGACAATTCTAAGCATTTTTAGTGAATGAAGCAGTAAACGATTTATTAATAGAAAATATATTGTATTCGTACTTTCCTGGCTTCTACTCTGGTTAATAAAAGTTAAGTTGCCCTGTTCTCTTTACCAAAACTGTGTATTATGTTAGTTCCCTCGAATATTTGCGGGTATGACTCTGTAATCATAAGACCCTAAATTAGGTTCACGTTTTACCGACAAAACCAGACTAAGATTACCCGCAAAAATTTTGTTGCTTAAACCGCCTTTTCTAGTAAATATCAAATTTAACTTTAAATTTTGCCAAAAAGTATTGGGCACCAGAAAACTTGCTCTTATGAATTAAACGTTAAATGTATAACTTTCCTCCTGCCAATAGTTCCACTCTTCTTCACTCCCTCCCTCTTATATCACAATAAAAAAAACTTTAACAAAATGCACACGGACCTTACACGAGACTAACTACGCAATTAAAAATGTACTTGTGTCTCCATTCTCGTAAAGAACTTGGACAGGCATCCACTAACATTTGCGAAACAATTTCGGCATATGACGAGGCAGAACAAAAAAATTCCTCAAAAAAACGTTTAAAATTCACTATTGTGTTCGTATGAACATCACTCGAAATGACATAACGCAGAATTTCAATTGTTGTAGGTGATGCACTTCCTGCATCGTTATTCGCCTTACTATTCCTTTTGGCTCTGCGACGTTTATGAGACAAATTTGACAGCGAGTCATTTCTTTAAGCGAGTGATATTCAGTTTGAGGCTAAACACTATCTTATACAATTCAGACAGGTTATTTTGCCCATGTACAGTGCAATCTTGAGCCTCTCGGCTACAAGTTAAAAAAATGAGGACGTTTACAATATTCTGTAACGCCGAATTTGAGCGTAGCTCTTGAGAACGAGGAAGGGAGGGTACGGAGGGATGTTACGCCCCTCTTCCTTCTCCGCTAAGTTTAGCGGAGAAATTTTTCTCCTAAATTTAGCCGGAAGATTTTACCCTCGTGATATCACATGTGGCTTCACGAAGGAAAATTTCGCGGAAATATTTTCCCGTAAAATACAGCGGAATAATTCTGCCGCTAAATTTAGCGGAAATATTGGCAACGTTAGATGCGCGTGATGTCACGTGAAAGTAACCCTCGTGAGGGTAACCCTCGTCACCCTCGTGAGGGTAACCCTCGTGACCCTCGTTAGGGTAACCCTCGTGACCCCCATGTGGGTAACCCTCGTAACCCTCGAGAGGGTAAACCTCATGACCCTCGCGAGGGTAACCCTCATGCCGTCACACGTGACGTCACGTGTGAGGTAATTATGGGAAACGTGTCATCATGCAACGCGCGGTTACGCCGAAGGCGACGGCGACGCCGCTCAAGCCGGGAACGGACGCCTAAGAGCTGCGCTCTAAAAAAAAAAAAGAAACGGGCTCGCATACTTGGGGGAATCAAACACTCACACGAGTTTACCAGAGCTTGCATATCGTTTCTGTCGCAATCCGAAATGCCGCAGATTCCCAGCCGAATTCCCGGAACCCTTTCGTCCTTCTGAATATCCAGGATCACGGGAGTCTGGACAGAAGTATGTTAATAAAGTGCACTGTTGCTGTCTGGGTAAGGTAAACATATTCAACAACAGTTTTTCATACCCTAGTTATACGGGCTCCTTTAAAAGCAGCTAAGTGTGACTAGGTCAGACTTAACTGTGGTTAAGTGTGTCCAGCAAGCATCCTAAACCGCAGCTTCACTTAAGTACGATTAGTAGCTACGGCCGCCTATACACTAGTTAAGTGGGCAGCGATAACGGTAGTTACGTCTCATCTCAGTCGCACTTAACTGCGGTGAAGTGTGCCCGTATAAAGCGCGAAACACATGTACGACGAAACCGTCCGATCCGACGTGCGGACTGCCGGAATGACCTTGGGGGGAGAGGGTTTTCGTAGCATCGGAGAGTGTTGAAAACCCTCGCCTCCGACCGTCGTATTGCGCGGTCGGACGTCGGATCGGACGGTTTCGTCGTACATGTGTTTCGCGCTTAACTGCGGTATTAGTGCTCCGCGAGAAAATTAAACCGAACATAGCATCTTCACTTTTTTTTTACCATTTATGTAAGGTAGTGAAATGGTTGATTGGCTTCAAAGCTACAAATTTCCAGCACTTTGTATTTTTTATGACACTACTTAAAATCCAATAAAAAGCACAACTCCTTGTTTGCAATAAATATACAGGCTCTGTAAAAAAACAACTGCGTATACATTGCGCTTTACGCTTGTCGTAATTGACTCTACGTTGTCAACTATTTTTTATCCACATTAAACATACACCTACCAGGGGTACATAGTATGATCAAAGAGAACTGAATTTAATTGAGAATGTAACAATGCCAGTTCTTGGGATTTAGAAATATAAATTTGATTGCATCACGAGTAGAAAGTGTGTTTCAAAACACAACACAGTGAACTTGAAGGCAGCTCTTCTTGTCGCGTTTTCAGTTTACGCTCACCCCCGGGCCCCTTATTATTTATACGCGAGGTTCTCTAAATAGGTATGAAATGCATTGAAGTTATATTAAAAAAAAAATGTACGCATCTACCGCTATACATTTACGACTAACATACTGCAGCGCGTTGCCCCCACTGAGGTGGTTCCGATCAAATAACTTCCGTGCTAGTGAAGCTATAGCTTTCACACACGCTTGCAATACATTCGATTGCACGGTAACGAAATTAAACGATGCCAAGAGCGCGTGAACATTACAAGACTTACCCGTTCGTGGGACATGAGAAAAGCCGGCAGCATGGCATCAATGAAGGAGGTATCGTTGATCATCCTTATGTAGACGTTGCAGTACTGGCCTCTGATTTTTTCGTTGCCGAATTCATCTTTCACGATGGTTTCGAGGCACTCGTCGTAGGCGCCAATATCCGCCCACGTTCCCTGGAACAGCCCGGTAGGATACTTGCCACTGGCGTCGATTACTGCAACCAAAAATACAATATTAAAGGGATTTTACCAAAACACCTCCAATAATTGCTCTGTCAGGTACACAAGCCGAGAAGGTTCACCTTCCCCGTCTCCCGTAATATTTCTAGTCGGAAACGAGCGTGTGACACCAGATTGAATATTGAACTTACCTTCGTATTATGTATGACCTCTACATTTAATAACAAGAAAAAAGGCACGTACGTGTTAGTGCAGGAAGAAACTGCATACCGACAAGCATACAGATAGCTGACCAAAAGGACCGTGCCTAAAATTCAAAATACACTGGTAGTTTCGCTAATTAAGAAAATAATCATTTGCATAACGTAAATATAAACGCACTTTTTGTATTGATCATATGCTGAATTTCTCCGGCTATATTAAAATTGGAAACATTTATGCTAGAGTTACGTATAATCGAGTCCCTTTATATAAAGAAACAACTAGGCATCTGAAATCTTTGAGGGCATCAACATACCCCACTGCGAACTATTATTAGGAATGCGTATAAATTGCTGATAACTAGAAATACAAATTTTAAATTAATAATGAAGAGAAAAGACCACAGATACCAAACTAGGAATACCGGTTTCTTTGTGTATTTCTGTGAATATTATTTGTACCTATATTTTGTAATTTTTGTAACTCTTAGACTGGGCTGCAATTATTATTTTCTTTTATTTTCCCTCTCTTAGTATTCTATTTCCCTTTCCCCAGCTTCCTCTCCTTTTCCTTGCCCCTTTATCTTTCCTCCCTTTCCTTCTCTTTCACTGTTCCTCTATCTTGTGTTTTGGGCTGGCATCCTTTTTCTTGGGGTCGAAGATGTTTGACGGAATACATTTGAAGAGGTGGTAGTTCAGAGCGGTGTGGGTGTATGTTTTGTGTGCCTGGATTTATCGAGTGACTGTCCACCTGTGCACTGATACGTACATCGACCTCTTTTAATGCGCCCACAGAGTTTTGGTCGCGGTCGCGGAAGGCATCTGCGCCTTTCCTCGGCCGTATTTCTTGATCTCGCGCTGAAGTAAAGGTTTGGCCCATCAGATTCAAAAACCTACCCACGTTTAACGTTCCCTTTATGTGTTCTCACGTCATCTGACAGGCAGGGGTTGCTCGGATCTCGAGTCCATTCGAGTCCCCCGCAGTCGCATGCGGCAATGAAGGCACCATACAACCATGCTTTTCGTTTATCTACGCTGCAGCATAAGCCTCTTCGAAGCGCTCCCGTCTTCAACGTTCCGAAGATCACCACGGCTCGGCACCGTGACTGCCCGTGTTTGGTATAATATACATGAAAAGAAATTTTGCTCCTCTTACTATCAGACTGCTTTCGCTCGCTGGCGGATCGAGTGGAGGTAGTGGGATAGACATGATCACGCAACTTTTTGCAAAGCATGGAGGAATTCTATGTTCTCGATTTATTGGTCTTGTCTAAAAAAGGACGGTGACGACTATGGTGGCGAACGTTTTGTTAACCGCTCTGCTCAGGTAAGCTTATATCAATAACTATGGTTGGCTGCTTCATAGAATGTCGTCAGTGCGAAATGCTTCTGCAAGGAACCTCACGTTGGCGCTAGTCTCTTGTCGCACGCTTCCAACAGCCAGCCATATGTCTGGTGTCATGTAACCAATTAAATTCCATCTTGAAGGGCTTTCTGATCTCGTGCGAAATATTGGTGGTCGAGTTTTGCTTATCATGCGGCAAATTTCGTCAGCCTTCTTCAATTTGTCTCTACTCTCCAGGGCTAAAATCTCTAGATGCTCTCGTTGTTCTTACAACGCAATTAGGTATTCGATTTGGGGTTTAATAATTAGGAGTGGACAAGCATATACATTTCACACAAAAAGAATGCAAGATAAGAGATATCTCCAAACAGTGCTCCTTAAATATATTTAACTGGCGCGAAACATTTTAGCCTTAGGAACAATAACTGAAGGGACCTACTACACCGAACAGGTATTGCGTTATTATTAGTATATTTCGCACGTTTTATGTGTGGAATTTTAATTTCATAGACAGATAAACATAAACGCAACTTGCGAGTGATTATATTTGTTTTATACCTTAACCATAAATCGATATTACTGGTTAGATTCAATATTTTCTGCGCATCTTATCATCGGCGGTGTAGAGCGAGAATGGATCTGGCATGTCTGCGTAGTTGGCGTTCACTGAACGTTGCTCACTTTTCTACGATACTTTCCGTGGCAACCTATCGTCATCAGAGACAAAATCCCGCCTACTTTTGTTGTGTTATGATATTCTGAATACGAACTTCATCCATCTTTTTAACTCCAGCATGACGCTAGGAACCATTAGCACTGACCTCGTGCACCTAAAAGTTCACGTGACTCCCCGCGAGACTGCGTTCTAAAACGGAGATAAGAAACATGGTGACTTAAATCCATTGAATTTATGAAGACCGCTTCTACTGCACAAATTCTGCTTTCAAATAAGAGAAGCTTGCACGCGAAAAAAGATATAGTGAAAGGAACATCATAAATAACATGAGATCCAAGAGTGTACCAATTTTCTTGTTTTATAAAATCCCTTATTAATTTTAATGCATCAACAATGCGCATGTATAAACCAATTTGCGATTTATAATTTACAACAAAAACCTAATTGACGACAGTCGTGAAGTTACAGAAGCTGTCATGCGCCTTTTTCGCCCGTCTAGTTGCTACATTGGGAATCCCAAGTCACTAATAAGGGCGATGCACCACTTCACAACATTGTTTGCGAATTCCCAAAGTTGTCTTTAACATATTTTTTAAGAGGAAAAGGATTTATTATGCGAATGAGGTTACTAGAACTGCGGGACATATCAATACCAATGTGCTGTTTCAAAAGACTTTCTGAAGAAAAAGATATGCGCCAAGATACTTTTACGTTGAAAAACTTGTTCTTGAAATATTTTCAGATGAATGATATATTTATGCACATATGCGAATGTCAGGACTATATAGTAAAATATCTTTTTTTTTTTTTACAATTTCACAATGCACCTTTCTTCCGAAAAATAAAAAAAGCTAATACAAATGCATACAAAATATATTTCTCAGTAGGCAATATTACAGAAACCAAAGCGGCACAGGAAAACACGCTGAAATTAGCCAATCTTCTGATCAAGACAATCCGCTGCCGGTCGCTCAAAAGAACAGTTGATCGCGCGTATTCGTATAGAGCCTACGATCGGAATATAATACGTTCTATTCTTCATTCTGCGTTAGTTAAACTCCGATACAAAACTCTTTTCTTCACTTTCATATTGTCTAGAATTGCTGGTGTTGCCGCATGAAATAAATACCTGTGAATGGGGCCATTAGGTTTTGGATCTGAGCCTTAACTTTCGTCTTCCCCATGTGTCTTGGTTGCATGATCCGAGGGCTAAGAACCCATCTTGCCGTTTTCCTCAGCGGATTGAAAGATCGTAAAAGCGTGTTTTTTTTTTAACCTCTCTTTTAAGAATGCCCTGTCGAAGTCTTGCCCTCACAGATTTAAACAAACCTTTGACAGACAAGCTTCAAATCTCGAAGCAGCGGGTATCCTTTTTACTTGGTGACGACAGTTGTTGAGAGCTAGCTTAAAAAAGGACGTCAGGTACCACTGTGAAAGCTATTGGAGTTAGAAAAATGTCACAGTTTTATCTTAGCTTCTTAAGATGTAACATACCGTAAAGAAGGGATGCACAGAGCAACACGATGAGCGATTTGTGACTTGTGTAGAGGGGGCTGTGTACTCCACTCCGTCGTCGTGTGGTCGGAGGTATGTACAGTCGGGGACGAAAGTCCCCAGGACGCGCGATCTGCGACTGAAATGCATTGCTCTGACATCTGCCGGCGGGTCGCCTGGTTTCGAGATCGCACAAAAGCGCATGCGCGTCCTACTGTGCCTGCAAACATGTGTGTTTCCCGCTTTTGTGCGGCGCGGCGCCTAACTCAGAATCGGGCGCGTGGTACCGCCTTAGGCATAGCGCTTAGTGACATGGCACATATAAAGCAAGAAGTCCCTGCAGCTCTAGTGAGCGATAAACTCAACTGGTTATAAACAAGGTTCGCTGACACGGCGAAATTCGGCACAATGCCGCAAGCGGTATCTCCAGTTTTGGAATGTGTAGCAGACTTAAGTCATCCGCGAGCGCTATCTCTGGGGCGGTACCAAGCGTCCGATTCCGTGTTAGGCGCCCCGCCACAGAAGAGCGGGAAAACACACAAGTTTGCAGGCACAGTGGGACGCGCATGCGCTTTTGTGTGATCTCGAAACCAGGCGACCCGTCGGCAGATGGCTGAACAGTGCGTTTCAGTCGCAGCTCGCGCGTCCTGGGGACTTTTGTCCCCGACTGTACGTCGGTCAAACGGGGCAATTCATGAATGATCGCTTAATATAACATAACTATGACGCATTTAAGGTTGTGTCAGGACATCTGGCCTTGTATTGCCGTTACTGTCAGTGAACTCCCAAATCTGACAAGTGTCAAGTGATAAGAAAGAACAAGAATAAACTCACTTGACAAATAATAGAAGCACGAAAGATTGGGAGATTAGGGCCAAACTGCGGTCAGCGCACAATTACTACCTCATCTCAAATAAAGAATGTTACTTTTTAGATGCGTTGGAGCGATGCGTGATTGTGGCTTAAGGAGCGCGTGACGGTCCTTTATTATTTTTATCTTGGTTTGTTTGTTTCGCGTTGCAGTATTTATACTCAGTGTCAGCTCAAATAAATTTCAGATGTAAGTCAGAGTTGTTTTTAATATACCTTATCGTTCTTGCCCTTGTCTTTGCGCTGTTTTTTTTTTGTATTTTTAAACATACACAGAACGCAAGTATTTAAAGCTGTATAACAGAGTTACTGCGTCTATCAGAATAACCATATATGTAACCTGTACAAGCACTGAAAAAACGAAAAAGGTTGAAGACTCTCGAGTCATGTTCTAAAAACATAAAATTAGAATTACGAGACTCTAGTAAGTTTGTAGTGTTGATGTGTTTTTATAGGTATATCCCAATTACGTGCAATATAGAATGCTCAACATAACATAAAATAGGTATTTTTTAAAGCTACTGAACTGTACCGGGAAATAAACAATATTGAAATATTAAAAATTATATATTTACGTTTACACAAAAGTCAGTTTTTTAATACTTCCTCCAAAATATATAGGTTTATAGTTATTGTTATTATTGTAGATACGGGGGCGTTTTCAAAAGCATGCCCCACACAATACTCAATATCATGGTTGTTACGGAAACCTTAAAAGAAAATAGAAATACTGTTCACTTTTTAATAACCACATCTTAACGCTTCACTCCGAATGTAATTTTGAATTATTTAAAATATATGTATTTTTTTAAGTTGAAAACAAACATTAGCGCCTAAAACAATACTGCAATTGAATCTCAATTAAACACGTGTACTCACATCTGACTGCCCAGGGCTCCAGAGCTCTGATCCCACGCATAAATTTCAGAAGACCTATGGTGCAGCTGGTAGAAATGTCCGCCCCCAATATCTTCCTAGATAAACCCGTCAGTTCCGGAGACTGCATCGCCATGTCCATGTACGCCCTTATTGTTTCCATTATGTTGGGCGTTGGTGTAGTCGACGTGGTCGTATCATTTCCAAATTCACCGGTGCAGAGCGCCACACATCCAAGCACACAAACCACCAACACGATTGTAGCTTTCGGCCTCATGGTGTGCCGCTTTCAGAAGAACTCGAAACACTACGAGATCACGCACGTCTTGGCTTTCAAGTTCGCAGTCCCGACGAGAATGGACAGGGGGAAGCGGGACTTTAGTAGTAGTCAACACCCCGTGTAAATTTGCGGCTTCGTGAGGTGAGGGAAACAGCGAAAGTGAGAGAAGAAAGGAGCTATATGGGCTTTCCTCCTCCGTCTCCCCCCCCCCCCACCCACCCCCCCCCCCCCCCCCCCCCCCCCCTTCCCCCCCTACTCTCGCTGGCTTTATTCTTTTCCGGCTCTCCTACGCGGTCGAGAAAATCTACAGCCTCTGCACAAATCCTCCAACAAGTCAGCAAACAAGGTTTTTCAATCACCCCTCCCATCATCTTTAAGTGGAGAAAATAAAAGGAAAACGCCTTCTTCTATCAGATAGGCAATAAAATAACATGCATATAATTTTGGCACCAGCGTTCTCAGCCGGCAACATCGCCGTACCGATGGCGCAATTGCCGGCGTGACGCAGGAGTGGGCATTCCGTACCGGAGCTTGGTGTTTCTGTTACCGTCGAGGGGTAGTGACGCACGGAGATCAAGGTCGGGGAGACTTGGCCGCCACCAGCGATTGCATATTAAACGAGCATCGCACCCATCCCCCCTTTTCCTTCCCTGACTCATCAGCTTATGTCACGTTCAAGCTGCACGTTTATGTAGATCAGTGGAATTTTTACGTTTGCGATCGGCCGGGCGTTTCCCTGAGAAGCGTACACCAGAGTTTCTGGCATTGGGAGTCTCGCGCTGCGTCTGTTCGATCGTTTTAGTAGCTATCTTTGTTTAGTTTTTTCTCACTTCTATTTTAGCAAAGCGCTATAGATGCCAATCTTTTTTGGCCTTCAAACAAAATTGTTGTTTTGGTGGCTCGCGCAGTCTTCCGCAGAGCAGATTGCATACAGAGTCGTGTACTTAGTGATTTGTGGGAGGTCACCCAAATAAATGATGGCAGACGAGATGCATTTCGATGCCGGGGGCATTTTATTGTATTTCCTAGAGGTAGAAATTTCTGTTACACGACGTCCTAAATATTATGTTCATGCATATAGCCTTTTTCTGAATGTAATTTCGTTTTAGAAGCTGTCTCTTCATTAATGACGCACTGCCATTTACCAAAGATGTTGAGTGTAGTGGGGCTGTCCACTTCTCGTTCAGACCAAAACCAAAAATGCTATTATTACAAAATGTATAAACGAGTCTCAAGTATTCTAAGTTAATAATGCAACTTCCGCTAACATCTCTGAAATTTTTATAATTAAATTTCGGGTGTTCACTAAAAGGCCGTGACTCTCGGTAATCTTTGCGGAAATCTGGACAACCGAGAGTACACCAAATGATTACCTTCGTCTGGAGAACCAAACCCCATGAAAAGCATTTGCTCGTGATTAAAGTCTGCACACTAACTACCTAACCTCACTACCTAAGTCTAAGGCTTATATTACATCAGCAGTGCCGTTAGGCTTAATATTGATAGTAATCCTTCACGAAAGTCAGATGGTTAGTGAGCTGCGTCGCGCAAAATGTCATCTTAAGAAAGAGGGCATTTGCAGCGAATTGTGGCTCGATCGAGCTCCTCCTTTTGGGAAAGAGTCCTTGCTATTGAAACAGCTTAGGACATTCTTTTGACCTGGAGAATTCTTTGAACATGACGCAATTCCTGAAGTGCTAGTTCTTACTCTACATCTCTGAGTGGCATGGGTTTTTTGGTTAACGTTATTCGAGACCCAGGTCTCTAGCACTAAAAATACAATATCAGTTCGCATTATCCCAGTCTCATTTTTTCTTCGTTAAGATGCCTGTTATTTTTTTAGCACCCTTGATATTATAGGTCCGTAACAATAAATATATATTGTTACGGACCTATAATATCATCATTTATATATATATATATATAAATGATATATATATATATATAATGTTTACCTGTCCCATTACACAAGTAGGAAACATGCCAGCTCTTTGATTAGATTTCAGCAAAGGCATTACGTCTTTTCACTTCGCCAAGAGCGCAGATTGATCCAATTCCTATGATGGTCTTGAACTTACTTTATAATGATGGATTAGTTTCGAATAAAAAAGTTTATTAGAGTAACACATGTCATATGCTGCACAGTCGTGAACAGTAATAACGAATGTTGGGACCGCACCCTGAAGAGTGTCAATGCTTTCACTTTACTAGACACCGGGCAGTGGGCCGACCACTGAGATCTTAGACTTCCCGCGCATGAAGAGCCTTTTCAATTTTCTCTGCACATTCTGCATATGGCAATTCGCTCCCTTTCCCTCTGTGCAAATGGCATTTTCCTTTCGTACTACTCCATTTTTTTTACTTAACTTTGATCAAATATTCTACAAGATATCTTTCCATACAACTGAAACCGCTACAAAAATACTAGAGAGTACAACTTCATATTTTCCTTTGTGTGCAATTTAGTCGCTTCTAAGTAAACTCAGACCAAATTGCACCTCTTTCGAGCCTACAATAATTCTGCGAAGCAATAAAATAGACATAATCATGGCTATATTATTGCGACGCAATATAATAGTCATAATGATGATGATAATCATCAATAGGCACAATATTTTCTGGGTTTTTAAGCAGAATTAGGCCATGCATATATAACAAGTCTTTCGGAGTCTTCTTGAACACATTCAGATGAAAGCAAATTACACACTATAAAAAATTATTTCTCCGCCCAATAAAAAAAAAAACATTTTAAACAATTAATCTGACTGCGATATTCAGAAAGATCGAAACAGCTTAATAATTACGCATATATTTTCGCTCGCACGTACTTGGTTCGGGGGTCCTTTTCCTGTAGATTGCGGAATTACAAATGAGCATTGTGGCCGTCACTGCATCTTCGGACGAACCTTATGCATCCTTATATGTGTCGATGATCATCAACAAGAATTCCTCGGAAACAAATGTATGCGCTTTGGCGCGTTAAATATTTTCCAATTGGAAGTCTAATCCTAGTATTATTTCGTTTTTGTAACTTCACACCAGGTATTTTAGTATTTTGTCCTCAAAGCCACTGCAGGGACTGGACTACGTTAGCAGACACCTAGTGCCAAGGTAACTGATTACCGTGGAATAAGACTGAGTATATACACGGTGTCACAAAAAAATGTCAGAGTTTTTTTTTTTTTTTTTTTTTTTTTTTTTTTATACCGCAAAAGTAAACTAGGCATCGACGAATGCTCATTGTCCGCCCAAAGGTAGTGCTAGAGGTCACAACCAGATGCCAAAGTTTCAGCCCGATCCGATACCTTAATCAAAAGTATTAAGTGATTTTCTGAAAATTTCAATGGAAAACTGGCAGCCGGTGGAGTTTTCGAATACATAGGGCTTTATGGCACCAGAAACTGAAAACGGGCGAAAATGGGCTCTATTTTCCCATTGAAATTTTCAGGAAATCACTTATAACTTTTGAATAAAGTATCGGATCGGGCTGAAACTTCGGCATCTGGTTGTGACCTCTAGCGCTACCTTTTGGCGGAAAACGAGCATTCGGCGACGCCTAGTTTATTCTTGCGGTAAAAAAGAAGGTGTACATTTTTTGCGACACCCTGTATATATCGCTTGTTGCCCATCACCGGGCACACGGTCTCTTATGACTTGAAATGGCAATAGTTTTCTGATTACACAGTTTCATAATTGTTCTAGAATTGGGCTTAGTCGCTGGAAACGTAATAAACGCTGGACTACTCACTAACATCTTATCATCGCTTCAGATCCCGAAAGATTGCGGCAGCTGTAATGTTAAATCACGAAGCAAAAGTCCCGAACAAAATAATCTACTATCCGTATTTCTTGAGCTGTAAGGGACTATGCGGAGCGCAAGTTCGTCTGCTTCTTTTGCCGGGATTGTGGTGACGTCAGAACGCCGAGCTTCGATTGGTTCTGAATGAAGGATAGTGGGCAGACTTCAGGGCAGCTTGTTTTGACGTCTACCCACTACCCTTCAATCAGAGCCAATCAGATCTTGGTGTCGTTCTGACGTCACCCCAAACTCCCGCGCAACAACCATACGACTTGCTCTCCGCATAGAGATGTCAGAAACGTCTGCAACACAAAACTACCGGGTGAAAAAGGGTTGATAATGGAAGCCGGGGATTTACAGAAACTAAACAAAAAGGGTCACGCAACACATCACTTCACAATTGTCCGCTCTGATTAAATGAGTGTTCCTCGGATCTTCGTAGCCATACATCTAACCTGCGTAAACAATGCACACTTTTAGTAAGAGGAAGGTTACATTTTATCCGAATCATTATAATACCATCTTAATGAAATTGAGCAAATTATGAGCGCCGTCTTAGAAACTTTTATTTAATAAGAACCAGAGAAACCTATTGAATATTTGCCGATGCTAATGTGCACTTTCCAGATTGAAAAACCCAATCCACTTATAACGATACCACATATAACAATTTACCGCTTATAATAATCAGTTTCTAGATTTTATATACTAGAAATAATCAGTTTCTAGTCCAGATACAGCGAAAATCGGTTATAACGAATGAAATTTCGGGTTTTCTCATTATCGTTGTAAGTGGGTTGCACTAAATGATCTACGTGTTTCCTATATTAAAAAAGCCATATTATACGGCGTCGGAGCATCATACTTACTAACGCTGAATTTAATTGACTCTCCCCTTTAAAGCGTTCCGTAGCCTGTCAGCTTAGTTTTAAAGAATACATTTGAATTCGGCGTCAGATTTTGATATTAAAAAGGAAAGGCTTTTTGTCTATCTGTCTTCAATCTGTTTGGGTTGTGGGCATTAAAGGGATACTACAACGAAATTTCGGCGCTCATTTTTTGGTCTATATGTGTTCAAAAAAGCAGCATCCCACCGAACATACCAATATCTGGTTAAAAAAGTCACGAAAAGGAATTTTAAAACGAATTAAACGATCAGCAAAGAGCCCCTGGTGGATGTCGCTAACGCCTCGCTTGT